AAAAGGACGAGGCGTGGCCAAGGCGACGGCGCCCCGCCTGTACGTCGGCCCCTTCCTCACCCACACACGTACGTGACGTCAGTGCGCAAGGTGAGAGGCGGTTGGTTGGCGGGTCAGCAGAGGTTCCCTCTCAGAGAAGGGAAGACGAGAAAAGGGAAATTTGTCACCGGCGAGGTTCGGAAAAGGAAGCGTGGAGCGCTCGAGGGGCCGATTTAAAGGAGGAGAGGGGAAGGAAGTGGGTGGGGCCGGAATAGAGGTCAAGGGGGCGGGGCCATTCTGCCATGCGCACAGCGAGCCTAATACAGAGAAAACCAGGCATGTTTCCAAGGGATGCTCCTCGCCCTAACTCTGTGCAGCTTTACTAAGAAGCACGTCTCGCCGAGTTCTGGGACTTAACCCTCAAGGAAGGGAGGAGAGAACAGGGAGGGGCAATTTACGACTCTCCAGAAGTTGCTGGAGTACAGGTCCCATTAGCCCCTAGTACCGTTGCTGACAGTGAAGGATGATGGTAATTAGAGTGCAACGACAGCTTGCCTCTCTCTGCTAGGGTTTGGTATGGGATTTCAGCCATGTTTTTTGGGAATGTACATGCCCTTCAAAAAAAACAAGTTGTGTTTGCACTGTATGCTAGCAACTGTTAACCTATGTACTATGTAGAATAAATTTCATTTAACGCACCTTGCACAAATTTTTGTGATCTTGTGGTTAGCTTAATAAAGTTTTTGGGTTTATAACAGAGGTGACATTCTTTGTATAGTCAATACAGTCCCGTTTGCTCTTTTTTTTTTCTATTTCCTCTTGTTTAAATTCCACACTGAGGGAATGCAGCTCCCACGCCTCCCAGCCACTATGGTGGTTTGGGCGAGGGGACTCTAGGTGTTGTAGTCTAGAAGTAACTTTTCCAAGCTCTCAGCTAGGAGAGTGACTTGTATGGCTTTCTAGATGTTGCCCTAGAACTGACATGAATGGAACTGCAGTCCAAAACACAGCTGCAGGACTACATAGTTCCTATCCATGGATTAGATTGCCTGTGCACATTTGACATTCAGTTCCTCTGATGTGATGCAAAACCACTGGTTCTTAATATGGAAGAATTTCAGGGGATGAATCCAGTGGTTACTCCTAGAGTAAATCCACTGAATTAACAGGACTTTGGTTAATAACACATACATGACTCCCTTTGGTTCTGTGCATATGCCGTAGTTGGGTTTAACCTAGTTCTCCTGGGCATGTGATATGCTTTCTTATTCCCTGTCATTAGACCCATTTTTTCTTAGTGTCTTGTTGGTTAAAAAGGAGAGGAGATTCCCTAGTGGCTCAGCAAATTCTTTTCTTTTTCACAGGCCAAAAATGAGGTGACTGTGTATTTTGCACTACTGCGCCTTCCACAGTATGGAACAGACGTGCTCCACAGCTTCACTGACCCCACGTGAATTAACTGAGTGTGCCCTAAAGCAGAAATTGGGTGGCTCCAGATAGTAGGATACACATTGTAGTGCAGTGGATGGAGTGATGGACTAGTCACTGACCCCACATGAATTAACTGAGTGTGCCCTAAAGCAGGAATTGGGGTGGCTCCAGATAGTAGGATACACAATGTAGTGTAGTGGATGGAGTGACGGACTAGGATTCAAGAGGCTTGGGTCTAAATCTCACTAGCCCATGTTCTATGCTGTTAAGTCAGAGCCAACTTACAATGACCCTAACGGTTTTAAAGGTAAGTGAGATATTTAATGAGTGGTTTTACCAGTGCCCCAAGGGACGTGGTAGTGCTGCAGGTTAAACTGCAGAAGCCTCTGTGCTCCAAGGTCAGAAGACCTGAAGTCGTAAGATCGAATCCACGCGAGGGAGTGAGCCCCCGTCGCTTGTCCCAGCTCCTGCCAACCTAGCAGTTCGAAAGCATGCAAAATGCAAAAATGCAAGTAGATAAATAGATACCACCACGGTGGGAAGGTAACAGCATTCTGTGTCTAGTCATGCTGGCCAGGTGACCATGGAAGATTGTCTTTGGACAAACGCTAGCTCTACGGGTTGGAAATGGAGATGAGCACCGCGCCCTAGAGTCAGACACGACTGGACAATTTGTCAAGGGGAACCTTCTTTGGTAACACTCTCTCAGTCAGTTTCATAATTGAGCAGGGATTTGAATCCTGTTCTCCAGAGGCTAGTCTATCAATACACCACACTGGGAACCTGTTGGGGAGATGGAATTAGTAAAACTGCACCTTAAAATATCTCATTTACCTTGAAAGCCCAATTAGGGTTGCTGTAAGTCGATTCAAACTTGATGGCACAGAAAACACACAACTTAAGGTGCCATCAATTTTTTCCATCCTTCTAAATTCAGCAGGTAGGGTTGCTATAAGTCGGTTCAAACTTGATGGCACAGAAAACACACAACTTAAGGTGCCATCAATTTTTTCCATCCTTCTAAATTCAGCAGCTCTGATATGTGTGTGAATGTGTGGAAATAGAACACTCAGCCTATATAATGCCAAATGGATAGAAGTACAGAAGTTACTGGGTGCAACACACTGCTTTCCCCTCAAAACTAACAGGAATCTTAAGTGGGAATATTTTAGGTTCAGGAGAAACATGATGAAAGACATTAGAGGCATGAGTAAACAATGTTCATTCAGTTTGGTTGTTGTAGGTTTTTCGGGCTCTTTGGCTGTGTTCTGAAGGTTGTTCTTCCTAACGTTTTGCCAGTCTCTGTGGCGGACATCTTCAGAGGACAGCACTTTTTTAAAAAAAACCACAACAACCATTAGATCCCGGCCGTGAAAGCCTTTGCGAATACGTCATTCAGTTTCTTACTTTTGTGAGAGTACTTGTTATGGTTCAGCTGAAGATAACAATAGAGCTTGAAATATTACTGTAAACCTTTCAGAGGAACTCAGCTCTATTTCTCAGCTCTCCAGGAGGTACAATACAGAAACCCATTGTTGATTGAAACCTGGAATTGAAAGAAAATGCATCAGCCAGTTTCTTGTCTGATAAGTGAAATCAAACCCAGAAGACATCCTGCAGAGAACAATAGACAACTCTTTAACTACACAGAAAACAGGAGAATGACAATAGCTCTATTGCATCTATTACTGAATCACACTTCAGGGGAACTTTGATGGAATTTGGCAGAAAGAGCCAAAATGCTGAGATATACTGTACATATTTTTATACATAATTTGGTACCAGGGAGGGTTTTTTTTTAAACTGGGGATTCTGGAGAGTAAATAGGGGGACATCAGTAGTCACTAAAGGTACCTTACTGCTGATATTGAAAGCCAGAGAAAGCTTGCTACCTTCTCTGTGTTTTGTAGTTTCTTGCCACTTTGATGGTCTTCGCTGATATTCCTACCATGAAGAAAAAAGAAGAGAGGTCCAGCATTAAAGAGAATAAAGAAAATGTGTGCTTCTGCCTCATGAAGTGTTCCCCCCCTCTCCATGGGGCAGATGCCTCCAAATTCATGAATATGAGCAAATACTTTTGACTGAAGACAGCATCTCTTTACACCACTGTAACCCTTAAAATGCTGCCTCCCACTTCCCCACGGAGAGGGAGGAACTCTGCTTCCATGACTGTTTGCCTTTTACTAAAGTATTAAACCTTTCCAATCCTGATTGTTTATTCTTCACAGATGGATCTGGACTGACCTTGCTTCCATCTACATGCAAAATTGATCTCTCGGTAGTCATTTTTGAACTATTGTGCCATGAATGGATTTCCTTACTACCTGATTCCATGCCCATTCATACCTCAATTAATATCATTCCCTAAGAAATAAAGGGACTGGGAAATGGAAGGATGGTTTATATTGGCTCTGCGGTGCTTCATATCACAAAATGCTTCCCTCAAACTGGGCTGTACACTGCACTCTTGGTTTCATAAGTGCAAGTGGGGAGTTTTGCACTCCCTCCCCGGACATGGGTTAAGGAATGGACGGCCCTCATAACATGCAATTCTGATGAAACATACAATACAATTTATTTTGGCCTGATACACAATTTGAGTGCAACATGGAATTAGCAAGCCTTAGTGCTATTGAATCTACTAAAGGACACTGTTTCTTCAACTGTTGTGTTAAATGAATGAAAGGTCTTGAAGAAATGTGTAGATGAAATTAAAAGAAAGGGAAAAAGGGGAAAATACAATATTAGCTTTTTATCAAGATATTTCCTTGGTATGTCTTAGTATTATCTCATGGAGATCAATTCTGAAAATCAAGCTATTTACACAGACAATGATACACATCATGTCCTCAGCATTTCGGGAATTACATCCTGTTCTTCATGGAGGGCAAAGCTGAACACAGCTTCAATAGCAGAATAGTTTAGCTAATACAGTATCCTATTCTAGGATCTGCAAGGAATTTACTCCTAATTCCCAAAAGTTTCAGGAATTAGTTATAGCAGCTTTGTGCTTCTTTATCTGTCCTCAACAATCAGAAAAAGGCTGCTTGGTCTTCAATACAAATGCAAGAACTGGTGATACATTTATTAGACCACTACATTTTTTAAATGACCTTGGGTTGATAAATCATCTTCAAGGCTGTGCACCAAGTTCTTGTGGGTAGTTCCAAAATAAAAGCCATGAGGCTGATGTTGAAGCCAGGTTAGCTTCTTAGTTGGAAATAAATGCAGTCTGCAAATGGTCTTGGGGGGGGGGGAAATGTGTGGCTTCAGGCCTCATCTCAGCTAGTAGTTTGGAATTTATCACTCATCTCTTAAAACAAAGGACAGGCAGGGAATTCACTCACTCTCCCGATACACAGGCGTAAAACGCCTTTGTTGGCATGGAAGTCAGTGCTGTGATATCCCGTGTGCCTATGGAAAATAAAAGGGAAAAGGTAACCTCAGCGTTGCCTCCTGTTTTTAAGTTCAGAAGGTACTTGCCACGTGTAGCGGGTGGCAAGCTGACCCGTGAGAAACGCCGTCTGAAACTAACGCTCTTGCCATAGAAGCCAATACAGGTCAACTCAAACGTGCACGTATTGGCTCAATGGGATTTAACAGTCCAGATGTCATTAAGTCTTGTATTTGCATGTTTTGATGTACGTATGCAATGTAAGGAGCAGTCTGCAAGGTGGTATCTATAGACAAGTGTCGCAAAGTTCTGGAGGAAATAAGGTGAATTCTCCCCACCAAATTTACTCCAACCGGATACCGGTTCTTCCCCTCGCCTCTAGGACTTCTGGGAAATGTAGTTCCTGTGTTCCATGTCGCGGGCAAACGGATGCCGGCAATTGGAGGTAAGGAGAGGAGGGACGTGGAATGAATGGGAAGGGTGATGGGGAAGGAAAGAGGGCAAAATAGAAGGGGCTGGAAAAAGGAAGGGGAGAGGCCCGTACAAGGGAATCTAAGGGGAAAGAAAAAAAGGAGGAAAACAAGGGCAGGTCGTTACAGATCTTCCTTCCTTGCTTCAGTTATCGGCATTTTTTAAAAAATGCGTTATTTTAAGAAGTAAAACTTCGTGTAAGCTGCAGGGTTCCAATGGGAGACTTTGAAGGACACTTTCAACCGATCAGTCAGTCAAGCATATAAATATTCTAACATCCCGGTTGACTTGCAAGAAGAAGAGCCATTTTAAGAAGTCTAGCAAATGTCGCTTCCGTAGTTCCTTAAAAGTCATTTGCACTGTAATGGCTTTGTCCTGGCTTCACCTCTTCCCCCTTTTCCCCACTGCTAGCCCAAGAATCTTGGGAACTGTAGTTTTGCAGTGCAGTCCGGGGCCGCCTATGCAAAAATTAGACTGTGGTTGGTGTAAAGTAGGATTTAGGGTGCTGTAACGAGCCCGGAAGAGCCTATTTTGGGTTTTGCCCCAGCTATGAACTCGCTACGTGGCTTAGCTCACGATACTCTGCCACGAGATGGGTTACCTTCCTTTTTGGATCTCACGTCCAAGAATCTCCCAGTCAGAATAGCTGGGAATTGTAGCCTAAAAGGTAGTGCTTCTAAACTCGTCCTAGTGCTGCTGCTGTTACCTCACACACACCTATAGTAGAGGTGGACAATTATACTTGACCATCTTTACATGGGTCTTGTGAGGATGAGGTAGTTAAGAGGAGAATGGGGTGGAATTAGATTAGACTCCAGGAAACCAGTGAACTTTAAGGTGACCGTGACAGGCTGAAATTACCACAGATTTCAAGAGTCCTGCTCTTAAGTATGAGTAAGTTTTGATTTGCCTTTGCTAAAAAAAGCCATGTGATTGCTAACTTTTGTTTATTAAATGTGGGCAACTTAATGGACGAGAACCTGAGTGCCATTTGTCTAAAATGGGACCTCTCTGTACATTTTGTGATGGTGTCTGAAAAAAAATCAGAGGAAAATGCACATGCCTAGCCTTTACGCTCCTAGGACTTTTCAGATGTTTTGGCAGGGCTTAGAAAAGTTACTTTTTTTGGACTTCTGCAAGCTGCAGCCCCCAAAAATAACATTTGTGGCGTTTCCTGTTATGGCAAATGCTTGTAGCGGATTGGGCCCAGCTCAGTGGTTCTGCCCAGCCACACTTGCTGCTACACGTATGTTGTAAAACATTATATATTTATTTATTTAAAATATTTTTTACTCCATCATTTTTCTTAAAAGGGTCCAAGGCAGTGTACGTCATTAAAAGACAACATGAAAGCTAATGACAGTGAGTATACAAATACCATACAAAAAATGTAGGCAATGCCAAAACACATTCAAAGCAGTAAGTTACAACCATCCATTTTAAAAGCCCACTCAGGTAGCCAGTCACTCAAGGAAAGCCTGTTTGAAGAGAAAGGGCTTTGCCTGCTTGTGGAAGGACAGCAAAGATGAGTCCAGCCTGGCCTCCTGTGGGAGGGAGTCTGGGAGCAGCGACAGAGGAGGCCCTCTCCTGTGTCCCCACCAAACGCACCTTCGAAGTGGGTGGGACTGAGAGGAAGGCCTCTCCTGATGATCTTAACACTCCAGCAGGCTCATAAAGGGAGATGCAGTCCTTGAGATGGTTGAGTCCCAAGCCATATAGGGCCTTATAGGTTAGAACCAAAACCCTGAATTCATCCCTGAAATGGATTGGCAGCCAGTGGACATGCACTTGCATACATGAAAGAACAAGAGCTTTGAGGACCAGAAATTTAAATGACTGGTGAATTATGAACTCCAGACATTCCACTTGCATACATGAAAGAACAGGAGCTTTGAGGACCAGAAATTTAAGTGACTGGTGAATTATGAACTCCAGACATTCTCAGAGAAGAATGATAATTGCCTGACTGATTTAAGTCTGAGTTCTGATCCTACTTTGTAGGGATATCTGGCAAAACTCCAGTTTCCATGTAGGAAGCTAAGTGGAACTGATTTAAAACCTGACGTTTGCAGTGCACCTGATATTAGCTTGCTAAGATTTTATCACAAGGGTAGGTGTCCTAACCCTTCTCTGTATCATTTCCCAGTTTCCTCATCATGGATGCTTTCTACTCCAGTGGAGTGTGGATTGCGGAGATACTTCAGACCAGTTTGCCAGGACTGGAAGAATTTTGGCTTTGGGTGACCTTCTTAGGTGACCCCAAATGCGTCTTCATCATTTATTTCCCTCTCGCTTACTTCCTGCTGGACCAGAAGGTTGGAGTGAAAGTGCTTTGGCTTGGCCTAATCTCTGAATGGCTCAATTTAGTCTCTAAATGGTGAGAAAAAAAGAAAATCAAAGCAACGTTCTAGGATTAAACTGAGTTGAGGACTGGATGTTGGAAGACCTTGTGGTAGTGGAGACTGGTCATTTTGATGTTATGAGTTGGTGAATAAGGATGGGATCTTTGCATTTATTTGACCACAGGACCCATTGTTCTCCATTCTGAGAGTTCCACTTGACTTAAATTTGGCTCACCTGGGAGAAAGACCTCAGGTGGAAGGCTCTGAGACCAAGCTAGCCACGGTTCCACTCAAGCTTCCTTTTCAGAAAGGAAGTTCCCAGTTAGCACCAGAGCAGGATCAGGAAGCATGGGTGCACTAAGGCCTCAAAACTTTCCAGCTAAGGCCTTTCTACCAAATGGAACTCCAAGAATGGAGAACTGTGGGTTGTATAGTCCAGAAAAACTGAATATCCCATCCCTGCTTGTAGAATATGTGCCAGGCTTTAAACACACAGAAGCTGTCCAAGGTGCTGAATTGTGCCCCCCCTCCAATAAGTTTATCTTGGGTAGCTCTTTTTAAGTTCAGACAGAAACCCAGGATGGATCTGCCTCCCCCTCTGAGTAATCTGAGTTATCAGTTTCCAATGTCTTGGGGCTCAGCTAATATGAATTTGACAGCTGTGACACAACCTTGGGTAACCCAAGTGTTCCTGGATTGCAAACTCCCAGAAACCACAGCCAGCATAGCTGCTGGTGAAAACTTCTGGGAATTGGTTGTTCTGGGTTTTTCAGGCTCTTTGGCCGTATTCTGAAGGTTGTTTTTCCTGACGTTTCGCCAGTCTCTGTGGCCGGCATCTTCAGAGGACAGCAACCTGGGAATTGTAGGCTAAGCACACCTGGGTTACCCAAGGTTTGGAACTACTTCAGGATTGGTGGGATGATGGCAATCACAAGTTGGGTTGAAGTATGTGTTTTGCAAAAGGAGAACAACTTGAAAGAAAGAAGCAAAACACAACCCACCAAGTGTGCCCAGTAGTCACACAAACTGAACAGTCTGTTGTGAGCAATAGTGGTTGGAATGGAGTAGCTGAAAGCTTTAACTGCAGCGCTCCATGCTGCAACATATTGTTGCAGGTAGATATCTCAGAGAACAATTTGAAAAAAGCTTTGTCTCTGTGTATGGGGGATTTTTCCTCCCAGGGACGTGGATCCACCAAGCTATATCCAGGGGTGTCTTGTTCGATCTCAGAGAACAATTTGAAAAAAACTTTGTCTCTGTGTATGGGAGATTTTTCACCAAGCTATATCCAGGGGTGTCTTGTTCACATTGTGTGTTCTGTGTCATCCGGGGGAAACCGACTTATTGCAACCCTAATAGGGTTCTCCAGATAAGTAAGATACTTAAGGAGTGGTTTTACCGGTGCCATCCCCAGTGAGTGTCCATGGCTGACCAGGGATTTGAGCTCAAGTCTCATGAGTTCTAGTCTTTTACTCTATCCACTACCTCACACTGGGTATCCTTGCACACATAGATGGATCCAATTCCAGACAGAATGTGGAAGGGGAGTCTGTGGGGTGTTCCGCCTGTGTGATTGGCTGACACCCAAGAGGGTGTTATGCACTTGTCAATATATCTGCATAGAGCCAAAGCTTAGAAAAGTTATTGTTTTGAAGCATAATTCCCAGAATCCCAAACCCCGTACTTGCTCAAAACTCCTTTCAATTTCTGCATAGAACCCGTCCACACAAGAGGGGTACTTCCTGATTCATTCACACATTGTTATTGTGATACCTTTCATTGTATCTCTTCTGTCTTTTGCCCTGGATTTTGCAGGAACATGGGACAATTAGGGGAGCTAGTAAGGCATAGCAGTTTGTGGATTGCTAATAATGAGAATTTAGGTCCTAAATAAGCCCTATAGCGGGATCTGAAAGCCTTAGGAATGGACCTCAACAGATGGGAAACCTTGACATCTGAGCATTCAGCCTGGAGGCAGGCGGTACATCATGGCCTCTCCCAATTTGAAGAGACACTTGTACAGCAGGCCGAGGCAAAGAGGCAGTCCCGAAACAAGCAAAACCAGGGAGCTGGACAGGGGACAGATTGTATTTGTCTTCAATGTGGAAGAGATTGTCACTCTCGAATTGGCCTTCTCAGCCACACAAGACACTGTTCCAAGACCTTCATACAGAGCACGTTACCATAGTCTCTCGAGACTGAAGGATGCCTACACACAGCTAATTGAGAAGCTATTTGTTGAGGTTTAGACCTGGTGCCACTGTTCTTCTCCCGAAGTCTTGGAAAGGACCCACCACAGGCCACTTTTTCTTGGCTCCTCATCAAACCCAGGCATTCATTTAGCCGAGGTAGACTCATGTTTTTTCCCCATGATGGCACTGACATACTTTCATGTAAGGGTGTTGCAGGAAATTAAACTGTGACCACTAAATTTTAAAGCCTCAAGGATTCTAAAAGCATTAAGTGAGGTCTTGTCTCACCTTCACACATGACGTCTTTCCCCCTTCTCCCTTTCTCAAGGTTCCTGTTTGGTGAGCGACCTTTCTGGTGGATGTTTGAATCCGGTTTTTACAAAAAGGAGGATGGCTTCCCTCGCCAGTTCCCTGCAAGTTGCGAAACAGGACCAGGTTGGTGATTCAAAACCACTTTGGGCTTTGTGGTTTCAGAATGGGTGGCGTGTCGTCAGGGCACTGAACTCCTTACGTGTGGTGCTAAATCTGGAGACACAGCCGTACAGTCTTGTTCTACCCACTAGCTACAGGACTGGTTGTGCAATCCTGGGACAGCAGCTTTGCATTTTTCCATAGCTTCAGGCAACACATTAAAAGCTGAAGTGGGTTGAGAAAGAATAGATTCCTGGCAATCTTGTCTTCACATAGCACCAGACAGAGGTCTGTGGAAATTTACAAACAGTGAGGTAGTGGACATTTGTCTTGAGGTTCATAACAGGGAACCCACAGCCACTTCTCATGGATAGTCAAAAATGTAGGCTGATTTGTTGATGCGTATCAACTAACCAGTCCTGACAACCTTCGTCTCTATTAAAAACGGGTCTTTTGCAAAACGAATGGCCTTTAATTGCACATTCAAGACTCAGACATTTCAGAGTACTTTGCATTACAGCCGGGGAGGCTCACAACAATATATTGTTATTGGGGAAAATCCCTTCACCCAAGCCTTGCTTTTGTAAGGATTGCAGTTAAGCTAAAATGGAAAAGAGAGGTTTAGGCTTAGATGATGTCATCATCCCTGCTAACCAGGACTTTCATTCTATCAGTCTTACTGTGCTGCTGTTCACAAGGAGGATATGGTGATGATGGCGAGGATAGCACCATCGGGCATGAATCAAGACCCCATCCCAACAGAGGTCTCTCTACCAGTACCTGGGCACTCCAAATTCTGCTACCTCTGCTTCCTCTTTTACAGAGGTGGACATAACTGAAAATAGTTTTATTGGGTTCCCCAGACTGTTTGCACAGTTCTGGCACATACGTCAGTCTTGACAGATCCAAGGTCTTTCACTTGGTTTACATTCTAGAGGAGCAGAATCTATTAGGCTTACAGTAGTTCTAGTGGATACTCCAAACTTGTCATTATTCTTTGCTGTGAAATCATTTCTAACTTACCGTGACCCATGCAGGAGACTTGGGGATGCTTGAGATATACAAGGAGTGGTTTCTGATTCCCACGTCCACCCCCTTGAGTTTCTATAGCCAAGCATGGATCTGAGCCCAGGTCTCTTGAATCCCAGTCTGATGCTCTGTCCGCTTCACCACACTAGCTCTTCTGGACTGTGGTCATAAGAACATAAGAAGAGCCCTGCTGGATCAGGCCAACGGCCCATGTAGTCCAGCTTCTTATATCTCACTGTGGCCCCACCAGATAACAACTAGACAACTAGATACCTATCTCCTGATACCACTCCCCTGCATCTGACATTTTGAAGTAGTGAATTAAAGAGAATTTGATAAGTCAACATTAATGTAAGTTCCATTGATTCAGTGGCTGAAATCCTGTTGCTTAGTGTAGCAAGTCACAAAACTAGAGTAGGCCCGTTTAATAAGTAAGGATTTGGTGAATCAGCTCCTCCATAAGTTCAATTGATTCAATGGGCTTACTTTAGTTGTGACTTAGTATGCTGAGCAATGGCATTTCAAACAGTGGGCCAACTCTAGTGGGGACTAATAACTACATTTAAGACAGGATGGCCTTGGACACTACAATGGACCCTCGACTTACAGATGGTTCCACTTACAGACTTTTCAAGTTACAGACTTCTCTGGCTGCAAAATTTAGGTTCGACTTGCAGCTTACAGACCGGGGGGAAACTCCAGACCGGGGGAAAAAACCCCAAAATGAGACAAAAACGGCCGGTTACGGATTAATCAGAAAAACTCCAGACCAGAAAAAAAAAAAACCAAAATGGGACAAAAACGGCCGGTTACGGATTAATCAGTTTTCAATGCATTGTAGGTCAATGGAGCCTTTTTGACCTGCACCCACTGTTTCAATATGGATTAATTTTGTAAGTTGAGGGTCCACTGTACTTCTGAGTCTTTGATTCTGTATCTCTGATTATATACATTGCTTTGAAGGTTGTTGCAGCCTCCCACCCCAGTACAATAGACTTTACACATAGGAACAAAGATAAGGTTGGTGTCTCTCTGAAGTGTATATGCAAGCCAGGGCCAGGCCTACTGTTGGGTAAGGTGAGGAAGGTGGCAGCAGATTATGAGTCAGGGTAACAGCTTCTTCCTCTCTGTTGAAGGACAAAACCATGTGGCTTAGGCCATCGGTCCTTAACCTTCGGTCCACCAATGGGAATTTATCACATAGAACCCTTTGATCATGGTGGTTGCAACTTCTTGGAGCTAAAGTCCAAGCCATCCGGTATCAAGTTGAGAAACACTGCCCTCTGCACCTCCTAGGCATCTTCCACCTCAGCCTTCAGATGAGGTGGAAGATGCTCTCCCATCACCAGTATCCAAGTACAGTAAGGTTAAATTGCCAGTCTGCCCAGCTTGTGAAGGTGTTAGGGAGAGCTGGGTTTGTCCAGGTTTGCTCACTTAAAACCAAGGTACCCCAAAATGTTTTGCATTGCAAACAATCTACTGTTTTGTAGCTTGCAAAGATATAGTGCTGATAGTACAACATCTATTCCCCAGCCCATCTTCCATCATTAATTACTGTGAGGATTGCTACTAAGCTGAGAGGTATTTTGGAGTGGGTCTTAACTATGCTAAGGAATGTTTGGCCTGGGTGGCAGGTGACATCTTCATCTCTGCTTATCAAAATGTCCGGTGTGGTAGTCCCAGTAGTAGAGCCGAGTCTTGAAATGCAGGTAGTCATCATCTCAGTCTGCATAACCACTCCCACCTCCACTACAAGGAAAGTCAATAAACACCAGCAACTCAATCCATCCATATCAACTAAAGAGTTCTAGCAGTTTTTCTTTCCATCAGGAGCAGGCTTTTTGTAAAGCTAGTGCCTCTTGATCATTCATCCAAGATCAAACCACCCTCAGAAATTTTGTATTGCAGCAGGTATAGCTTGGAACAATATACTATTCCTGGGAAGATCCATTTCTTCCCAAAGTACTATCAGGATTATAGATAAATTCAAGGACATCTGGGGGTTGGGGGTGGCAGCGGATGATGTCATAGTTGCTGCTATCAGAAAATCCTGGGACGTCAACCCTGCAAGCCCTATTACCACTACACTGCTGGTCACACCTGTGAGCTCTGGTTCCACCACAACGTTGTTGGGTGGATTATTCACTAGCTCTCAGCCTGTTTCTCATAGTTTGGCATTTGGAACTGTTCTGCTTTTGGACAACAGTGGCAAGAATTTTTCAGCCAGCATGAGCACTGTTGCTGGCAGGGGAATTCTGGGGGTTGTACTCCCCCATCCCTCCAAAAAAGACATTTCCAGGTCATGGAAGGGGGTGAAAATAGTGTGTGTGTGCCTCCGTGGTTTATTTGCTACTGTGAGGTTCTTCGAAGTACTGTGGGATTAAAATAGGATAAACAAATGAGCCAAAAACATTTAAGTCAATAAGTAAATTTGAGAGACCTGCTTGAGGAGAGATTCAATTAGGTTTCCTGTGAAGAAAGGTTATTAATATGTTCCCATGGGATGAATGAAGTTGAATGATTGGAACATTTAAGTGGGATGGGGTTGAGGGGAGAAATCACACACGCACTTGTATAAGAAGAGATTAGGGAAAAATAATTGCCTGGCATATTGGCAAAATTAAATTTTGACCTTCACTTTAAACAACACCAGCACGCCACAGCTTCAGGAAACATCAATTTGTGACACCTAACGGTGCTGAATGCTTGTGTATTTGGCTGATAATCTTCCAGACGCTCTGAGGAAAGCAAATGATGCCCCCTGTCAATTTGATGAGGCAACAGGAGCTGGTAAAAGTCAAAAGGCTGGCAGTTCCCAGCTGTTTTGACGCTTCGTAAAGGTTACTGAGGATGCTCTGTGTTTATTTTGTTCCCTGAAATTGCAAAAAGGTTGTAAATAAATAATAGTTCTAAGGCAGCCCTTGGAGGATGTTCTCCAAGAAGTTCTTAAAAATGTTTTGTCTAACCTTTGCCCTCATGCCTTATGGTAATTATATAGGAAGTTCGGCTGTCCCATTTGTTTGACTGATTCCAGATTTTGAAAAGTCGCCATTAAAATGGAGGAAAGAAAAAAGGACATATAGTATTGGCAGAGTCTAAAATGTTAATTTCTAAAAGTAGTGAACTATACATGGTTTCAATGCCCTAGTAGTTAGTTAGTGTTATAATTGCAGTTGGTTAAACATTGCTGCTTACTCACCACATTTCTAAAAGTAATTAAAATAGTTGTTTTAAAGTTGCTTTTTAAAAAAATCTGGATGCTGCAAGCACATGGTCTGTAGCACAGAACATGTTCTCATCCCGCCATCTTTCTGTGCGCAGAACAGAGTCCAAGGCAGCAGGATTGGGCAGCACTTAAAACATGTGATGTCCCTCTTCTGCAATTTAGAAAAGGCACAGCCATAATGGTAAAAATAACTAAAAGTTATAGTTATATTATACTTCAAAAGGAGTTGAATTATTCCTCAATAATTACAACTGTAACATAGATTAGTTATGCTGTAGTGACTGCAGAATTGTAACTAATACTGTACCAGGATAAGCCGATACCCAGTGTGGTGTAGTGGATCAGGTGACAGACTAGGGCTGAGAAGGCCTGAGTTAGAATTTCCTCTCTGCCCTGGAAATTCATGGAGAGAGGACTCATAAGACTATGGCTTAAATATCTCACTTACCTTGAAAGCCCTATTAGGGTCACTCTAAGTCAGTTCTGACTTGGCAGCACATAACCTAACAAACGAAGTTAAAATTAATTAATTAATTACCACTTATTTTAGCCAGTTATTTGTAACTATTTGCTTCCAAGCTATTGGCATGGGATTGTTTAGCTTCCACAGAAGACAATCCTGGGCTTCTTCTTTATTAATGGTTCTTCTGAAAATGTCTACAACTTATGAACAAAGAGTTAGACTTGTAGAAATGTCTTTGCTCCCTTTGATCACCATCATTTATAACTCATTTAGGTTTAAACCCATCTAAAATGCATTAATAAAGTACAGTGGGGTCTTGACTTAAGAACGGCTTGAGTTAAGAACATTTTGACTTAAGAACCACTCTCATAGGAAAATATTGACTTGACTTAAGTACTTAGATTTGAGTTAAGAACTGAAAAAAAGCCATGTGGGAGGCAGGGAAAGTGCAAAATGTGAACTTTCAGTTAACTGTTGGCCAGTGAAAAGGGTTCCTGTCTGATGAAATTACATGGGACCTTCACGATGTCTCAAGACCTGACACAGTCTTCCCCTCTGTTTTATCAGTGAAGGTTATGGCACTTCTTGCCCAACCTACCTCTAAGGACCTGCCTTGAGGAGGGCTGTTACGAAATAGGTGTAGCACCTCCAGTGATTGTATTTTCGTCCATCTATTTTCTGTGCTAGAGATAGGGAAGCCCTAAAGTCACTTTGCTCTTTCCTTCTCTAAATCATTTCTGACATCTGCAACTAAGCTTAAGTTGCAGCTAAACTTGAAACATTATTCATACATCTACAGAACAGGATTTTCCAATTCCTTGAAGCTCGTCCAGCTTATTTTTCTTCAAATCTACTGATTTTCCCTTGGCCGAAAGATAGATTTCTGGAATTGGATTATGAGTTTGTGAAGTCCACGATTTGGGCCAGGTACTTCCTAATATCAAGTTAATGGTTAATAAGATAACCACAGTTGCTGAAAACTTGGATGAGGTTGCCACTAGGTTTGAGGTCACTGACTTGAAGTCTCAGGGAAACAACTATGGTTATCCAGGTCTCCAGAGAGGGAGACAAATATCCTCTCTTCACTTGGTCCCAGATAGTGCCAGAGTTTACCTGCTCAGTACAAAGTGGTTTGTATGTGTGTTGCTCCAAATAGCATGATAGGCCCAAGTACATGCACCTACCAGGTCCAAACTCCTCCCCTGGTTCCTAGTTTTCTGGGATGCTGACACTGGGGCCATTTTGCCATTTGGAGCAAGTTAGGGAGTGGAGCACCAGCATAATGACTCATGAAACTTGCTATTGCACAAGCCCTGGGGAGGGGAATAGTACAAAGCCTAGGGGGGGAAACCCTTTCCCCTCCCAGTCTTTGTCTGCCCCTTCTGTGATATCACAAGGGCTTGCCTTGTTATATCACAACAGTTGTGCGACATCACAACAGTCCAACTTTGGCCTTGAAGTATCAGGGAATGGAATGCTGTCAACCCTATTCTTGGCCACTTCTGTTTGACAACCTTTCTAGTATGAATTCTGGCATTTTTGTCCTTAACTTTATCTCCTCCAGGCAAAATATACCTGGTCCCTTCAACTGTCTCTCATTAGGTCTTGTTTTTCATGCCTTGTTTCTAATTAAATTCCAGGTATAGCATCAATTCCATCAATTGTGTGTGTGTGTGTGTGTGTGTGTGAGGGGGGGTAGTACTAATAGTGAAGTCATACCTGAAGACAATCCATTGAGCACTCTTTTCTATAGTTGGCAAAGACCAAAAGGCCATCAGGTTGTCGCCTTGAACTGTGAGGTGTGTCCATCTCCTGAGGATGCTGATCAAAGAGGAAAAATAACTCATCTCCTCCTCCCCTTTTTTAATTTTTTTGCAGGGAGCCCCTCAGGCCACTGTATGATCACTGGTGCAGCCTTATGGCCAGTAGCAACCACTCTGACTGCACGGATATCCCAGCACTCCAAAAGGTACTTCTTTCCACAGCAATTCACATGCCTCGTTCTCTCTCCCACTTGTTTTACAATCTGTTTCTGTTTGTTTTAATAATTAATTAATATAGCCCACCTTTCCAAATTGCTCAAGATGGCATCTATGTCTCTCCTCCTCCTCCTCACTTTTATCCTGTGAGACAGACAAGGTTGATAGTGATAGGTCCAAGACTGCACGTGTGATCGGTGATAAATTATGTTCTTTCACAGAGTTGTCATGAGGATAAAGTAGGAAAGGAAAGAGCTTGGTACTATCTTTTTATCTTTTCCATAAAATCAAAGCAAAAGAGAATTTAAATGGTGATTTGGGATGCTGAAAGATCAAAAGAGAAGTATACTATCTGACCAGGCTACAATAAAGAGAAGATGAAGCAGTATACTGAAGAATTATATAGATGTGATGCAAGGAAGACAGATTTCTTTGAAGGAGAATCTTGTGATGAAAAACCTTCTATTTTAGAAAATAATATGAAAATTCCTCTCAAAGCACTTGGAAGAAATAAATCACCAAGAGTATGTGGAGTTCTACTGATATTCACAGGATTCCTGATATACTGGATTTATCAGAAATCCTAACAAAGAATATCCCACCAAAAATGGAAAACAAAACAATGGTTTGTAGACTGAGAGCATTAGAAGTCATATTGCAAATGTATGCTGGGTATGGGAGCATAGCATAGATTTTCAAAAGAAGATAATCCTGTGATTCATAGATTACAGCAAAGCCTGTGATTGTGAGGATCATGAAAAGCTATAGATTGTTCTAAAAGAAATGGATGTGCCTCAACATTTGATTGGCCTAATGTGTTACTATACTCTGTACAATAGGCTACCATTAGAACAAAATTAGAATGGTTTTACTTAGGCAAAAGTGTCAGACGAGGATATTAGTTAATCTCTTTATCAATCTTTATGTGAAACGTATTATATGGAAAGCTGAATTAGATTCAGGAAAGGAAGAGTGAATATTGATGGAATAAATATAAATACTCTAACACAGGCAGATAACACCATATTATTGGCAGAAAATATCAGTGATTTGAAGTGACTGTTGATGAAAGTGAAAGAAAAAAGTGCAAGATTGCAGTTGAATATTAAGACAATATTTATGTCTCCAGAAGAATGATGTACTTTGATTTCAATAGTAAAGAAATTGAAATTGTCAGATTTTCTGTGCCTTTGTTCAGTCCTCAGTGGAGACTACAGCCAAGAAATTAGAAGACAGGCATGGTCAGTGATTTGAAATGACTTTTGATGAAAGTGAAAGAAAAAAGTGCAAGATTGCAGTTGAATATTAAGACAATATTTATGTCTCCAGAAGAATGATGTACTTTGATTTCAATAGTAAAGAAATTGAAATTGTCAGATTTTCTGTGCCTTTGTTCAGTCCTCAGTGGAGACTACAGCCAAGAAATTAGAAGACAGGCATGGAAAGACTATAAAAGAACTAAAAAAGAGCTCCACATGTAAGGATATTTCACTGGAGACTACACTATGGTATCCCCTATTATTACATATGGACATGAAAACTGGGCAGTGAGTAAATCTGATGGGAAATAAATTATTTGAAATATGGTGAGCTTTACAGATACCATGATCCCTAGAAAGAAATTTATTAAGTGCTAGACTGAATCAACTAATAAAAATGATTAGACTGAAGTATTTTGGGCACATCATGAGAAGACGTTACTCAGTGGAAAAGACAATAGTGCTTAAAATAGTTGAGGGCAATAGGAAAAGAGGAAAACCAGATACGAGGTGGATTGACATAGTAAAGGAAATAAATCATGATCTTGAGTTTGCCAGAGCTGCATTGGCATAGTAAAGGAAATCATGATCTTGAGTTTGCCAGAGCTGCTTAGGACCATTTAGGGCTCATTAATTCATGGAGTTGCCATAAGCCGTAAGTAACTTTACAGAATCAAAAATCCTCAAGCTCATTTGAGGAGAAGTAGGCTATAAAATATAACAAATAAGTACGAATAATATATACTGTACAGCAAGTGCTGTAGCCCATTGATCACTTTGATCAGTTTTTCTGAGCTTTTGTTCACTTTGTAACAAATCTTTTGAAGCAGGTCGACCAGAAATTGGCAAAGCATTCCAAAACAGGTGAACAAAAGGTGGCTTTCAAATGGACATACCCCTCCCGCCCAAAACACCTCTCAAAATGAATGACATAGGGGATGAAATGTTCTGATGGTTGTTGTGGGTTTTTCGGGCTCTTTGGCCATGTTCTGAAGGTGGTTCTTCCGAGTGTTTCACCAGTCTCTGTGGCCAGCATCTTCAGAGGACAGCACTCTGTGCTCTGGTGTAGTTGGCTTGGGAGTGCAGTATTTATGGCTGTGATAGGCTTTTGTCTTTTTCTGTAGATGGGTGATTAGTGTGTCTTGTTGTGGGTGTATTGTTGTGCTAAGGAGAAGAGATTATCTGTCACTGTGGTTGATGGGTGTCGTTAGCTGGTCTTTTGTGTGTAGTGATCCCCTGTCCTTGTGGCTGGGTGGAAATGTTCTCTTTGCACACGAACTAATGGTGCTTCTTGCCCTCTGGCACTGGTAACAGAAAGCTTAGAAGAGCGATAGTTTTGGACTACACATCCCGCAATTCTGGGGCTCCAGGAGGTGTGCTGAAAAAAAACACAGATAAATTTTCCAAGCTCTGGGCTAGTGGTCTAAATTCAGATAATTCGGGTCCTTGCTTGGCTCTGAAGCCGGATGCAAACACTCTCTCTACTGAGTTTCAGGATTGTCTGAGCTCCGTCAAGGCAAACTGGGAGCAAGTTCACTGATGCAACCTTATTTTTACCAGCTTAGTGCAGCAGAGAAGGCACCCAAAATAAAATGTCTCTTAAAAAAAATCAAGCAACAGCACCACACAAAAATCTTCCTGTGCCAAGCAAATGCCGTATCAATTGCAGAACATCCTTCCAAGCACGTAGCTCAGGCGCCTCTCATAGACCGAGGTCAGAATCCTCCGTGAAATGCTCTGCCTCAATTAAGGCGTTTCCCCTCCCTCAGCCACAACTTCCAGAATCACACAGTTAGCAAGAGGGATTCTTTCGCTTGTGAAATGCTCACTCTGCTAAGGAACTAGTGTTCACAGGATTGCTCCACTGGTTTCTTTTGAGGTCGTGGTGCATCCAGACAAGTTGCCAGGGTTCTTCTGACAATATGTTTTTTTTTCCTCTTTCATTTCTTTCCCCTTGAATGATCGGGTGTGACAACCTATTTTTTTGTTGCTTGTTTAAATGAATTGGGTTTCTTCTCTGTATCTCTTCAAGTTCCCCATTAAACCCTGATCTTAAATTGAGCTCACCACCACTGCCACCACCCAGATGACGTTTTTCTTATCCGTAGTATCAAATAATACGCCGAGGGTTTTTTTCCTGTAAGTTCCTGCATTCTGTTTATTCTGTGCCACCCTATGCTGTTCCCTTGCTTGCATATACAGTATATATATTTCTTTTTTTTTAAGGGAGAAAAGCACCTCTATTCAAAAATGGGATAGGGGATGGGCCGGATTTGCCATGCAATACTTCCCCCATCTTCCAAAAAAAAATTACAGGGAAAAATGTGGAAGAGTGTTATGAAGTTTCTGGGCACTAGAGGAAGAGACAACACATCAGTAGGAGTGCCCGGAAGTAGCTGCCCTCTTAATTTGGAATGAAATGCAATTGAAGTAAGTGTGCTGCTTGTTATTATGTCCCATCTACTCAGCACCGACAAGCCTAATAAGGTTTTCAAGGTAATTGAGGTATTTAAGATGTGGTTTTACCAGTTCTACCCTCCAGTAAGATTCCATGGCAGAGCCAGGAAATCGAAGCCAGGTCTCCTGAATTCATCATTCTGTCTACATCATGCTGGATACCAAGTGGAAGTGGTCCTTACTTTAGAGTAAACTCAAACTCTGGCTGTTAACCTAACCACAGCAAGTTCTACATCCTCCCGCTCAGATCAGTGTCTCCTTTTATCATTTCCATGGCTTTAGTATAGTGGTGGATATCTCATGTGGTGTAGCAGGTAGACGGATGAATTAGGATTCAGCAGACCTGGGTTTGCATTCTCCCTGGTCCATGTAAAACCTGGGAGGGAGGGGGACTGGGAAAAGTGTTCCTTAAATATCTCACTTACTTTGCAAGCTCTGTTAGGATCACTATAAGAAGTCAGTTCTGACTTGATTGCATAAAACATGTAACATGGTGCGTGTGTGTTTGTGTGTGTGTGTTGCAACTTAATGGACGTGAATCTGGTAAATCCAAGTACAACCATCATCTTTCCCAGTGGAATGGTCAGAACAAGACGGTACTTATCCTCAGTCTGGAAGAGATGGTGATTGAGTGACAGGTGTTTGCCCTGGACAAGAGGACACCTACTCATTCACCCCTTCCCCCTGCAGACTTAGCCTACCATTCTCTGTTTTTTTTTCCCTTTCCACAGCCAGATCGCAAAGGTGGTGCCCATGCAGGTCTATCTCCTCCTTTTGCTGGCTGTGGGCCTCTCGCGTGTCTTCATACTTGCTCATTTTCCCCACCAAGTCCTCGCTGGGATTTTGGCAGGTGAGCATATACTGTTGTTATTTTTCCCCCAGCAATTGCTTCTATTTGTGCCAGTGCGAACGCTTTGATAGTCCAAACGCCTAGACTTGGAGGTGGGTGGAAAATGTGCTCTTCTGGCCAGTTTTTAGTTGAACAAATGGTTTAATGTGGGGCACTACACATTTTTCCTTTTCTCCTGGTGTGCTTTGAAATTATTTTTAAAATTGCTGTTAAGTCCATGGATGTTTTAACCTGACAATAGATTGAATTGAGTTTTAACACTGTAATGTATTGTTTTCACTATGTCTGTGTTTTAGTCATTCTGTAAGCTGCCTTAACTGACTGCATTGTGAGAAAGGCAGGAAATGAACAGACACATTTTTAAAAACTCTCCTGCCCAAGACTAGAGATGCTGGCTAAGGTTCTCTTGAGCTAGGATCAGACATTGGGGGTTACTTTCAAAGAAAGGGCCATCATGTGGATTTTTCACCCAGTATAGCCCATGGCCTACATGGACATTAGAAAGACAGATTCATATGTGAGACCTGAGGTTTTGAAAGAGCTCTAAACTTTCTCTAGCTTGGATCAAAAATATTCCAGGCTTTCTGTGCTCAGAGGGAATTAATTCCGGGCCAACTGGCTGCAGGAGGAGCACAGCCACTGGAGGCATAGGGATTAGTTTTGGAGTGTAATGAGCTTGATAAAGCAGTGGCAGGGTTTTGTTTTGTTTTTTTAAGATCAAAAGAGGGGCAAGCTGCAGGGGTTTTGAGGTGATTTTGTATCCTCCTTCAAGACCTTTCCAAACTGATACATTCACATTTTCTCTAAACCAGAAGTGATCTCAACTTCACTTCTGATTTGGAAGAAACACTAGAAGTATGCACCCTCATGCACACAATCATGGGCATGTAAGTGCATGCACACACACAAGCATGCACTTTTTATTGCTTTAGAGGTGTGATTCCTGGGGACTCCCGGGAGTAGCTGTTGTTCGTTTTTTATTGTGTGTCTCTCCTGTTGATGAAGGGAGTCTCTGGTAGTTTTATGTGTGTCTCTCTGTCTGCTTCCCTTGGGATGTGGTGGTGCTGCGGGCTAAACCGCAGAAGCCTGTGCTGCAGGGTCAGAAGACCAGCAGTCGTAAGATCGAACCCACGCAGCGGAGTGAGCTCCCGTCACCTGTCCCAGCTCCCGCCAACCTAGCGGTTCGAAAGCATGCAAATGCGAGTAGATAAATAGGGACCACCTCGGTGGGAAGGTAACAGCGTTCTGTGTCTAAGTTGCACTGGCCATGTGACCATGGAAGACTGCCTTCAGACAAATGCTGGCTCTATGGCTTGGAAACGGGGATGAGCACCGCCCCCTAGAGTCGAACACGACTAGACAAAAATTGTCAAGGGGAACCTTTACCTTTACCTGTCTGCTTCCTGCTTTTGCCTTAAGTATCAAAGGCAAGGAGAAGCACTCAGCTGTGGAGTGAGACTTGTATAGCCAGGTCGCCTTCTCTCCTTCTCTGCCATCTTTGCTAGGAATCAGCCTGGGTTGGCTGCTGCAATCTCGGGTTCCACTGGAGAGAGAACTCCCCTTCTACCTGTGGTCTTCACTGTCCCTTTTACTGAGCACCTTGACAACCTATTGGATATTGATTGCTCTTGGCATTGATCTCAGTTGGTGAGTTCCTTTGATGGGAAGAAGGATTGGGGCCATGGAGGTTTCAACGGGGGGGCCTTTTCTTAATGGGGCCATCTTGCTTAGTGTACCTGTATCAACGTGAGAGTGATTATCTTTCCATTTATAAAAACTGAGGTACGGAGGCAGATACTCTGCACATGGATCATTTACTTGGATCATTTACTTGGTTTTCTGAAGACCCCTCAGAGCTCAAGGACATGGCTTTAAAAATATTCCAATATCCTGATTTGCACAGACAATTTTTCTTTATATAGATTACCTTTCTTTCTCTGAAGATGTATGGCCTATCTGGGTCTTATCTTCCTTACTTTATCTTCACAACAACCCTGTTAGGTGGATCTGCCCAAGAGTGGCAGGCTGAAGATCACCCAGGGCGTTTCATGGCTCGGTGTGTCTCTCAAGTATCAATCAATGGACATTATTATTACAACATCTGTTACATAGTAATGCTAATCTTCTCCCATACTTCCAATGACCTCAAGATGGAAAACATAGCTCTCCTCCTCCGATCTTTGTCCTCAAACAACAACTCTCTGTGAGGTAGATCATGCTGAGAAAGAATGTCTGGCCTAAGGTCATCCAGGAGTGGAGTTGCATGGCACCTTGAGGATTGAACTCGAGAAAGAATGTCTGGCCTAAGGTCACCCAGGAGTTGCATGGCACCTTGAGGATTGAACTTGAAATCTTCCAAGTCACAGTAAAACACTGTAGCCATTACCTAATGCTTTTAACTAAACAAGATGGTATTTTGAGGCCCGAGGAGAAAGAAAATATGGCATCTTCCTTTATCCTGAATTCTGCATGCAGAAGTCCTCTGGATTGGCAGGCTAGTCTTAGTTTGGTACCAAGAGGCCAACTAGGTCTTCCACTGAAGCTGACAACAGCACACCAGATTAAGGGTGCACAACTGTGTTGGACAACATTCTCCTGCCTTTCCTTGACCCCGGTTTTTGCTCTACTGTCTTGAGTCAGCTGCCTTAATCTGTCTCTTAGAAGGGCTTTCTCTAATGCAGGAGTGGCCCTGCACCTGAATGTCACTTTATGTTGACTTCTTGGGTGAAGGGGGGTTGTTTTAATTCACTCAGAGGTTGCAGAAGCTGACATTTTAGATGACGGTTTCTAAAATTGGCGTAAGAATCCAAGAATTATCACCTCCTCCCCCCCAGTTCTGAGCTCACCTCCAGACATAATGGTTTGCGGCCTCAGAAATGTGAGGAAACCTGTTTGTTCTGCCTCAGTGCCTGGTGGCCTCCTCCCACAAACATGGCCGTGCAAGACTTTTCCTCACGTTTGCCTTTCTCATTTCTCTCCAGGTCGATCAACCTGGCCACCAAGTGGTGCGCCAACCCCAGATGGATCCGCATGGACACACGGCCTTTTGCGTCCCTGTGCCGTGATGTGGCCACCGCTCTGGGGCTGGGGCTGGCCTTCCACTCCTCCTCCTACAATCAGCAGAAAGGCAAGGAATATGGTTGGCTGCAGAGGGGCTGCTGTGCCATCTTGACCCTTGGGCTCCTTCGCCTACTCAGCGATGCGGCGCAACCAGAAGGTGTGGCCCTCTGGTACGGGGTGAGCTTTGTAAAGTATGCCACCTTCCCTTGGGTGGTGGTTGCGCTGCTCCCCAGAGTGGTTTCTGCCATGACCTCCAGGATGACATCACCCCACAAAGAGTAGGTAGTAGAAGGAAGTGCTTGTTCTTTGAGGAGGACCTTAGCAGCTTTAGATAGGGAAGGAATTCCATAGCAATTGGTAGGCTTTACTTTGGGGGCCTCCTTCTCTCCTGAGATTCTTCCATTGGAAATCTTTCTATCTTTACAAAATGTAAGTTTGCCTCTCAAGGGACAAAAGTGTCATTTCCACCGGCCAACATGGGTTTTCTCTCCTGGTCTAAACAACTGTATGAAAAGTGTATCTTTGACACTTCTTCCACCCCATTCACCTCAACCCATGTCACTTACAGTAGTAATATAGGTAACATGGACAAAGTTTGGATGTCATAACCAGCCATTGTTTAAGAGTGGGAGTTTGTAAGCAAACAACAAACCATGGATGCAGATTATAGTTTGGATCATGGCTCTTTTGCAGAAGTAGGTTTGTGCATCACTACAAGTGACATTTCAACAACTCAGAGCTTAGAAAAGTTTCTTTTTTGGCCTACATTTCCCAGAATCCCCTCAGCCAGCCAACTGGGAAATTCTTGGCATTCTAATCTAAAAAATAAATCTTGCTATGCTCCATAGTGATATGGCAATGTGGCTAGTATACATAGCATCTTTAGGGGTTTGTTGTCAAAACCAGGAATTGATTTTAGATAAACCCTCAGTGGCTTGGGGGCAGCACTTTTGCTTGAGCAGTCATCCCTAAATGCTGAACTCTCTCCACTCCAACATGTTTTTGGAAGCCTTAGAAGAAAGGACCATCGGCTAACAGGATCACCAAACAATGGTGATGTAAGCTTGAAATAGGATATATTCTCTTTATCAGTAGCAGCTGTCCAACATCAGTCTGGCTGTCCATCCACTCTGAACAGTGCAGGAGCTCTCCAAGGGGGCCAAACTCTACCTTCATCACCCTGGACATCTTGCAATGTTCACACTAAAACTCCCACTGAAATTGGAGCCACTAGCCTCTGCTACTCCATCAAGAGCTTGGAACAGGTACTTTTTTTGGAGTGCAACTCCCAGGTTGCTACAAACAAGTTGGTCACTGGTGATGCTGTCCGGGCTGGGATATTCTAGGAATTATAGCCCCCAAATGTAATTTCTTTTCAATCTCGTTTTCTTATATACTTCATCACCTATTCTTCATTGCATTCTATAGGTCTAGCTCTCTCCAGTTTTTAATGAATTTTATTGTATGTGGATTAAAGTCTGAGTCCCATCCTCTCTTTATGAGCATTGTTTAAACTATATATGCACACCAGAGCCCTCTTTCCACTTGTTTTGGTGGTCCAGTAAAGTAGGTGGTGGTGGAAACTGACTGCCTTGTTGTGCTGGACACAGAGGCAGACCATCCCGTAAAATAGAGAGATCAAGTAATGTTGTCTTGTTTTCCCTCTGCTTTTTACAATCTTTGCCAGTTTCCTTTATAAAAAACCCAAGCGTCAGTACCATAATAAATTAAGGAAATACCACATTTACAATTTGTGACCTTATTTAACCACATCCAATGGATCCCTTGCTTAGGTCTTCCTTTAGTTTCTTCCAATTTTTACCAAAGAGTTTCCTTTATAAAAATGTAGATGTTGATACTACAATAAATTATGGAACTATCAAGTTGGTGTTTAAAGTTTGTGACATTTAGCCATGTTAGATGGATCCATTGAACCTATGAATATGAATATATCAAGAGAAAGTATCTTGTGAGGATATGAGCTGTACTGGGTAGAAAAGATGGGAGTTGTAGTCAAAACATATATCAAGGGACCTGGTTGGGGAAGTTTGATCTAGAAGAGGCAGTCTCCAAAGTCATATGATTTTATGAGCTTGTTTGTTTTTAGTTTTCAGAACAGGGTAGGTAATGTGTAGCTCTTCAGGTACGATTCACCTGTCAGTCCCATCAGTTCTAGCCAGTATAGCCAATGGTAAGGGATGATGGGAGTTGCTTTTTGGCAACATCTGGAGAGCTGTACATTTGCCACCTATTTTAGGAGCTGGTCCTTGCAGACAGTAGTATATCTGCAGTCATTGTACTCATCTGCCAACCCTAGTAATCACCATATTGATAAGTACTCAAATGAAAAGGGGTGTTTTAGCAGCAGGCTTGTGGTATCCCAGTTTTCAGATGTTCAAGAAAACTTAATGTTTAAAAGATTCAGCAGATACCTTTTAAGCTTGTTCAGTAGACATTAATACTGACGCTGTTATCCCGGGGGGGGGGGATGTGGGACAGGAGGAGGGCATGGACACATCCTGGAAAACAGCATGGCCACTTGACATCATCAACACATGCTTACTCAACACTGCAACATTTTAATGCAAGTCCCAATAACGTGCTTTTTGCTTTTCCTAGCCAATATTTTCCTCCAAATACTGTCCCCCTCCAATAGGATTACAATGTCCTCATTTTATAAGGGAAGAATACAATTCAGCTGTCCCTGTTATCTAGCACACTCTCCTAGTAAGTCATTGTTCTGTTCCCATGTTGCCTTTTGAGGATGTTTTATCAGAATAGTGAGTTCTCCTTCTGAGCTTATCTCTTATCTCACTCTCCAGAACCTCTCTAATTCAATGAAGGCTGTGACTGGGATTAGAAGCCTCTTGTCCTTAGCAGACATGCCCACCAGGCACATCCCTCTTTTTCTCATAGTACCAGTACCTACCAGCATCAGCATACATCCAGTTGTTAGTATAGACACTTCGTAATTCAACACTTATGTAGGTTCCATTGATTTAATGGGCCAAACTAAAGTTGGATTTAGGTAATCCAATTGCAGACGAAAAGTGGCAAGTCTGTTCTCAGCACATTGATATCTAAAATTTGACTACTAGGATTAATAGGTTGCACCAGAAATTAGACAAATTCATGGAAGAAAATGGTGTTAATGAATCATAGTTGTGTTAGGCAATCCCCAGATCTTAAGGCCACAGCAGAGAGCAACTATGTCCACATCCTAGTTGTATGTTTGATCTGAAAAAGAGAACTAGATTTGCTCAGCTTTTGGTCTGATCCATTGGGGTCCCAGCATATCAAATGAATACCTCAATCCAGTGTATAATACAGATGTAATTCTTCTGAGTTCACTGAGGGCACAGCAATGCTCAGGGGGTGTTCACACTGAGGAGTTACTCTGTCTGGATGGGGGCTTTAAAAGCAGGTGGTGGGTAGGGCTGAAGGCAACAGTAGGTACAGCCAAAGCCAAATATAAGGGGCCCATCTCCACCCCTTTTCTGTATTCTCCCTATCTAGCAGGCTTCTGAGAAGGGGCAGATCACTCTTGCAGAGAAGTCATGTACAACATCAAAGCGTCAGACACAATGTGACGGAAAACCTAAATTTTTTCACCCTACAAGTGTGAAGGTGTAGCTTAAATCTTGATAAGATGTAAAAGAGTGCCCTCTATCTAGTATATCTTTAAACCAACATGAAAAGCCCTTATCTTGTAAATACTGTAGGTCGAGGCTACTGAAAAGTAAATTAATATGACAAGAGAGAAGCAGATTTCAGTTACGCATTATAGTCAAAGGAAGTGTATTGGGTCTATTGCTCATGTTGGTTTAGAAGGTGAGCAAAGTCCATATCTTCAGGTGCTGTTGGACTGCAACTCCCAGGAGTCCTTATCATTGGCTTAGCTGATGGAAACTACAGTCCAATAACAGCTGGAGGATGGGATTTTGTGCACTCCAGCTTGGCAATAGAATCTATGAGAGGATATGCCCTGCAGGCAGAAGATCTAGTCAGTCCATGAAGGACTAGGAAAGAGCCATGTGAAACCATTGCTGGTCAATGTATGCCAACTTCACCAACATGGTGACCTGCAAGTGGGCTGGATCACAAATCCTACTATTTGCAGCCGGCATAATTTGCAGCTGGCATAATTGCTATTTTGCCTGTAGAGGATAAGAGTTTGTAGTCCCATAAATTTGGAAGGCTCCAGGTTGGGGAATAATGCTGCACAGGCAATGAATAGAAAACATATGTCTGCCTAGATGTTGTTGGACTACAACACTTTTCAGGCTTAGATAGCATAGCCAAGGGTGGAGGATGGCGGGAACTACAGTCCTACAACATCTGGAGGGCCATGTGTGCTTTATGTCTGGCATAGACATATGAGCTATGTGGATTGGTATATTGCAGCTCCCGATTTCCAAGGTTTCTAAAGTTCTGGATTCGAGATACACCGTATCCACCTACACAGCTACACTGGAAAAGTGAGACAAGACTTGACAAAGATAAGCCAAAAGGCTCAACACATTGATTCCACAACAAATTATTGCCAGAAACAATTTTATTTACACAAGGACAAACATTGGAACATATTACAAAATACTCAACTGAAAATTGTATTCAGAGCAAGATAAACAGAGAGAGAGAGAGAAAGAGAAAGAGAGACAGAGACAAAAAGCATGAGGAAAAGTGGGAAACCCCTACATCCCCCACTTATGGAGGGGGGTATCTTCAGTGAAATGGAAAAGGGGCTGGTTAGGAAAAAAATGACAAAAATCCCAGTTCTCTTCCACAAGAACAGCCCCCTGGACAACTTAATACTGATGTGAAATCCTATTAAGAGGACTCCCACAGAGTAGGAGTTGGCAAACATGCACACCCCCACGCGCACACGCACACACACACAATTGTTCCATGCTGTTGTCCTAAGGACTAATGGCTTCTCAAAGTAGTTGCTACTCTTGGCCAGCTCAGAATTCTCCCTCTCCCTAAATAAACTCTTAAGATAAAAACAAACAATGGCTGGTGGACATTTTTGTTCTCTTCCTACAGAATCCTATCGCTTCAGCTGCAAAATGGGGGGGGGGGAAGAGAATGAGAGGAACTACGGGAAAAAAGATGTGTAGATGGGACAAATCCTAATAGGAGGATGTGTCCCTTCCAAACATACTGACTGTATGTAACATCACACTGACACCAGATTTTGCTGAAATCTGTTTTGCAGATGAGGGGAAAGAGGTGTGTTAACGCCTCCTATTGGATTTAATTTTGTTTCTTAAATTTACATAGGACACTTCTGTTTGCACTCCAATGCTATGGGATTATCCAAGGCAGGAATAGGGGTAAATTGAAACACTCAAAAGACCTGCATTGCTGAGGGAAAGAAAAGACTGCATCCAGGCCTCCATGGGTCATCCCACTCATATAGTTACAGGGAAGCAATGGTGTGTCAGGCACTATATAGCCCAAGGCTGGGGATCTTTGGGTCTCCAAATACTTTTGCCCACAATTCCCACAATTCTTTACCACTGGCTAGGCTGAGATAGGCTGATGGGAACTAGAGGGTAAACATCTGGAGAGCCAAAGGTTCCTCAGGCCTAGTATAGCTATCAGGGCAGAAGCTTTTTGTTGATCTTGGGAGAGGTGCATATCTCACAAACCAGAAGAGAACAGCAGCATATGTGAAAAAGAAGGCATGGTTTGGGTGACTGTGTGTCTCCCTTTTTCTGAATGAAAGAAAAGTGCCAAGATGAAGCGTCTCAGTTCTCCTAAAACTGCCTCCTTCTATAATATAGAGTCCACATGTTTCCAGGACAACAACTCCCATCATCCCAGTTCACTGGCTATGCTGGCTGGTAGGAGTTGGGCCATCCTTGTAACATCCAGAGAAAAAAGAAGTGCTACAAGCATACGGAGAAAACCCACCCAAATCCACATATGGTTTTAGCATTTTATTGGCCACTCATCCATCATCATACATTTGCACTGTACTTATGGAGAGGGACAAAGGAATGGGAGAAGCAAGAGGAGCCCTCTTTGCTTGGTGGGGGCTCTTGGAGTGCACACAGCCTGTAGGTGCCATTTTCCTGCCTTGAAAAATTTCCAGTCCTTGAATGCCTTACACCTGGAGCATTACACCCAGGAAATGAAAACTATCAGCAGTGTTCATAAAGGCTGAATTCTGAAGAAGAATCCAAAGAAAGGATTGATTTGGAAATCCTATTGACAAAACATGTCATTTCTGCTGAACTCATTTATACATTTTTGCATATACTGTACTGTTATGTACAAAATTATACATGCTGTTAATAACACATGGTGACTGCATTTTATACTTTGTATATACTGACTGTATACCCTTTCCTCAAAAAACATTTATATTCACAGTTGAGTGCTTGTAGCCCTTTTTTTCTCTCTGACGCTCCATAAGCGGCTATCCTTTATTCCACTGTCATATCCTCCAGGAACCAAAAATCTCTATACCTGTGTAAAGATTGCCTGTAAAACCAGATCATATCAAACGAATACGATTACCCCAAAAATTCAAATCAGAGAGGTTCATGAGTTGGAACCAGTGGTAGTTAGGTATGCATAAGACCCCACTGATCTCAGTGGGAACTAAGCCATGACCAGCTTCTCCTACTGAATTCAGTGAGGTGTAAATGCAATTTAGGCTTAAAACTCTAGATGTATTTACCTGGCTAGGAGTAAGCCATACTTATCTCAGCGAGGTTTTTTTCCCCTCTTATACACTTGAAAATTCAAGTCCTAATTCATCTTCTCCCTGTGTAATTGCAATTCCAACCTGTGACAACAGTGTAGCAGCCCCCAGATGTTAAAATCATGTGTCAATTTATAGCGGCAACGAACTACACTTCTTCAAAAGTTTCCCATATTAATTCTGCTCATCAAGACATTTTGTATACTTTGATAAGCAAATTAATCCTATTCTCTTCTGTTAGTCTTAAAATCTCTAGGAGTAAAGTGTGATTTTTTTTCCTGAAAGTTTTTTTTTTCTGAAATTATAAAAGTTATATGGTTGGCTTTTGTCCATGTTGATCCTTGCCTAGATATAAGTTCCTCTCTCCTTTTTTCAAATGAACCAAAATGTGTTCACTGAAAAGGAAAGAGATGTGTGTAGCATGCTTGCTTCCAGTACTTAGTAAAATAAGAGTGGAGAAACCTATTGGACAACTCTTAGAAGCCACCATTTGCATGGCTACTAGTAAGGGATTACAGGAACTATAGTCCAAATCATCCAGAGGACCATATGTTCTACACATCTGCAGCCATTTGGATAGAACGAAGAGAATGCCCTGCAGATAATCTAATTTAGATTACCTACATGGTGCCCTCAAAATGTTTTGGATTACAGTTCCCATCAGCCCCAGCAATATGGTGACTGGTCAGGAATGTTGGAAATTGTAGTCAAAAGTAAGACACTTAGAGAACATCAGATTGGAGAACACTGATCTATTTCAAAACCCTGCTTCATGCAGGAAATCCAGAGCTACAGCATCTGCCTTAGGCTACTAGTTTTTGTTAAACTGTTCTAGCAGACACAAAATTTCTTCAAATGTTCAAGTGGCATCTACCATTCCATAACTTAAAGGTCATTAGATCTGTCACTACACTTTGGTGCAACCCGTTGCTTTATTCTGTGCAAGAGCTCTGTAGCTATTTAAAGAGTACTTTCATGTATATGTTATGAACCTACAGCCAGTGTACAGTGCAAGACCTTAGTGGTGGCTGGAGACAGAAATGTGAACTGGGAACAAAAACGTCTTGTATGAAATCTCATGAAGCACAGATACAAAGCCTGTGTGGACCCTCTTGCCTGTCAACTCAGTAGAAGTGTGAGCTCATGTGCGCCATGCTAGGCACAGGCTAGGCAATCTACAGTGGGAAGAAGCAAAACCACATGCCACATTCTATTTCCTTTTCATGCCTATTGAGAGTTCCACATTTGGCTAAAGATGCATTAACAGGAATTGCAATTGTACATAACTTGAGTGGGTGAGGCACTCTGGAAGCATACTCACTATGTATCATTTGGAGATGCAGATGATCAAGACCATCCAAGATCAGTCCTGCACAGCACTGACTGCCTCTTGCTTATGAGATCACTAACCTTTCTCCTCCTCAACAGCAGAGCAAGTTCTTTTCAATTCCCATTTAAAACCAACAAAGTGGTAACAATTCCAATGAACAAATGTTATGCTTAGTCTTCTTTTTTTAAGGCTCAGCTGAAGACTGCAAAGAGGAACAGCAAAAGCATCTGAGCTCAGTGCATTAGTCAAATGGACTTTAAAGGTATGGGAAGATTCCAAGGCTTTCTCCAGAAAGAAAAAAAAAGTCCCATGCAGATCCCTGTCTACATCAGTGATACACGTTACAGGTACCAGAGTCTAGGAATGTGGGAAGTTCTCATTTGAACAAATCTTTGGGAACTGATTCTCTCATTCTACTGGAATCAGGATGGAGGCATAGATGATGGCAGAAACACTATCTGAATAGTACAGCAAGACTTCTCAAGGTGTTTTCCCCTGATAAGATAAAAGATAGACAGGCACTATATTTAGGCTGAAAAATGTCTTGAGCAGCTGAAGACTGGAGACCCTCCACTATGAAAAAAGGATTAAACACCAAAGGGGGAGGGAAGCAAAAATGGAAGTGGCATGGGGGGGCATTTAACAACAATGAAAAAATGTGATCACCTGCAATCCATGTTAGCTTATCTCCTCCGTATTGTATGGAGGAATCTGGCAATATGGCGTTGTGGTACCATGTGCCATGTACTCATGCTCATGTTTGGAATAAACCGGGAAAATGCAGAGGCTGGCTTACGGAGGTTACAATATTGAGGGTGCCAAAAGCACCAAATCTTAATATTGCTTAAATTCTTATTCCACCATTAATAACCATGGGTGCTGGCATTTCAGATGTAGAGTTCCCAGAAACAATGGGGCTACCCTATACTACAGGCTTCTGTAAGCTGGTATCTTCCAGACTTATTGGACAGCACTCCCAATATTTCCAGCAAATCTGATGTAATGACAACGATTATGGGCGTTGTAGCGCAACACATCAAGACACCGTCAGCTTGGGAACAAAAGTTTTAGTAGTTAATGTTAAGGATGGGGTTTTCTGTTCATAAGCCATCAAGCTAATCTTTCCTCCCATATATATATATATATACATACATATCACTACTTTTCCCTCTCCCTCGGCATATGGCTTTTTTCCCTTCACAATTCCTTCAAAGCATTCACTTGTAGAGATGGAGTTTTACAAAGAAAAGAGGCGTGAAAATTCAGAAAGGATAAAAGGGGATGAGAAACCCCACTATCTGTTCTCTATTGCTCAGTGACCTGGATTCAGTCTTAAATACCCCTCAGCATCTCAGCATGGGATCTTCCCCCTAACCCACAGCATCCACCTATGGCACAAACATTTGTGATTTAATGCTACGGCACAGCAAAACAACTACTATGAGCAGCTCAGCAAGTAGACTGAACTACAAAGGTTTCTCTAGATGCCCGAAGTGTTCTTATGACAGCAGTCCACATGAAGATTTCTCCCTCCTCTCCTTTTTTTTTTGGAACAGATTCCCCACCCCACAGTGGCTTTTATAAAATCCTGGCCTATTTTCCCCCTCCCAGCACCATAGCTCTTGGAGAGCAGAGAGGAATCTACACACCTAACAGACCAAGGAAAGGCAACCAGAACAAGGGGGCGATAGGAATCTGGCAAATGGGTTACTTTTTTCAGCAACAAGAGCTTAACAATGTCCATTTCTCTGTGTGTGATTTAATGTTAATGCTGATACATCATACTTTCATGCACATTGTGGCAGAAACATTATTTTTAAGAGTCACTGGGGAGATTGCCGGGCACTCTTCTCATTTATCTTAAACAACGAATTGTGATTAACGCCAATGTGCTACAAATGTTTAAGGGAATGACCAACAGTTGCATGTCAGCCATTTTCACTAGTGCTTTCAAGCTCAGCTTCAGACACAAGCTTGTGCCAGAAAGAAGCAACAGTCTTGGCCACCCTGTTTCCAATTTCTGAACAATCATAATACATCTGGCTACTGGTCTGTTTACCTCAGTGTGAAGGAAGGGAGAGTGGAATGGATTGCTCAATCCATCATTCGATCTATCATAGTGATGTGATTATCCCATTAAAAATACACTAACGAAGAAACAACGTCCCTCCATCATGGAACATTTGATAGGACCAAACCCAAAGCAAATTCAACGGTCCCTGAAACAGGTCCTGGCAAGATTAAACAACAGTAAGTGCAGGTAAAAACACATCCCAGTCTCACATTCCACACAACGCCCACCCTGCCCCTGAGCCTCCCACCCCCCTCCCCACACACACGGCTTAGAAATCCCATTTGCCCTGAATTAGTGAAAACAATACAAGCCTCCCATCTTTTCCCTTGTTGCATTATCCCTGCTAGCAACTTTCCAAAGGAAAGGAGAGTTTTGTGGTACACATTAAAAAAATACTATTAAATAATACATCTGTAATAAAATTATATACCTTTTTTCTTTATATCCATTTCTTTTAAAAGCTAAAATTGCTCTATTTTTTGTCCTTTTTTCTTTTCCTTTTTTTCAGCTGGTGAAGTAACAGCAAGGAATTCTATCCTTTTTCTTTTTCTTTATGAATGGACATATTTTCATCAAAACAAAGTTTGTGCATGTGATACAAGAAATCAAACTATTTACAATAAGTGATAAGGAGTCTTTCAAACAATGACAAAATGAAAAAGAAGAAGAATAGAGAGAAAAAGAGAGAGTAAACGTCCAGAAAGCATTGGTCATGGAACAGTCAACATAAGCAGAATCTTCATCACAAAAGGGATTTTAATGACACATGGCCTGATCCAGCGAAGGAGATCTATTCTTGTAAATATGCTTGCATGTGTGTATCACTTGCCAGACTGGGAACTGCAGGCATGAACTGGACACGCATTTCAGATGCAGAACTAAATGCACAGCTGAGTGAGAATGCATTCTATCAGCACTGCGCCATTTTGAATAGTTATTCAGATGGGTTACATATCCCCCACCCATATTATTCCCCCAACAAGTCACATGTATTAGCAGTTTTTCACATGGCTAAAGCTGGATCAGGGCCAAATGTGCACTGGTGCTGGAGATTACACATGATTTCTTTAATATATATACTCTCATAGAGATGGTTAACTAAGAAGAGGTGGGATGAGTGAGGTATGGAGGAGAAAATGTGAATTCACTGGGAAATTAAGGCATTAACAAAAATGACTTAAAGGCACACATGTTTCTTTTCTCCTCACCTTGGGGCTCTCTCGAGATCAATTCAGAACTATACATATTGAGGAAGAGTTTACAGTTGAGATGGATCAGGAGAAAGATCTAGGCAACAAAGGCAAGGATTAAAAATCCTAAGAGTTTGGATCTAAATGGGTGGGTGGATGTTATGATATTAAGATTAGAAATTGGTAAGGTAAGGAAAAGATACTAGGAAATATACCTGGGGGTTAGCCTTCAATCCCTTCTCAATGTGCAAATAATCCAGAGGAGAGAAATGGCATTTTGGGAACAGATTCAGTAAGGTGGGAGAGGACCAATCCAATCCAATGAACAAGCAGGGCTGGTGGCAGTCTTGGGCAGCTGAGTCCCAGAGATGGGCCAAGCAAGGCTACGTAGCAAATCTTTAAAAGGAAAGAAAGCACAATCTCTTTCCTGCCCGAGACCCTTGAAAGATGTGAAGGGCAATTGTCAGCTGCCTTGCCTCAGCCCTGGATTACTACCCCCTTCCCCTGACTCCAACATAAGTAAATGGAAGGAAACTGTCCATTTGCTTATATAGAGTAGGGAAAGGATCCTGAAACTGGGGGAAACTTTGAAGAGGAAAGAAAACTACCTCTCCCACTACAAACGAGGTGTGTGTGTATGTGTGTGTGTGTCTAAATTAACTTCACAAGAGGGCAGCATATGGCATGGCTTATCTCAGTCCTGAGAATGGGATGAGTTTTGTGGTGGCCTAGGAGGGGGGCAGGGGGGGAATGATGTCTAAGAAAGGAATAACAGAGGAGATGCCCACGTAGAAGCCCCCCACCATTCCCCTCACAAATCCCCAAAGAGTTAGGACAAAATGGTGATGCTGGTGAGAACAAATGCCAGAAGACTGACGCGATTACGCACACACACATATGGGCTCATTTTGTCCAGTGCAATTCTTTTTTTCTTTTTCGTTTTTGTTTAATAGATAAAAAATTAATTTGTTGTTGTTGTTGTTGTTTTAACAAACTCACAAATGACCAATTAACCCACAGAGTGACAGCTACACAAATCGAAGTCTTGGCACTTCACAACACGGGCTCAGCCTCCATTGGTTCTTCTGCTTGTCTGTGAAGAAGAAGAAGGCAAAGAACAACTGGTTAATGGCTTCCTACTGGCCAGAGGAGGATACAGCTCTTGGCTAGGCATTCTGTGATGAGAAAGAGTATTCAAAGAAAATTTAAATTACTGTGGAGAGAAGGATGTTGGAAGTCAGCACATTAATTTAAGCAAATGGAAGCTTTGTTCGGGACTGAGGAAGACCTTTATACTGACATAGAATATTTGGGAGGAAGGGATTATTATGTAGCATTAGGACTTGGGAACCTACAGTAAGTGTAAAGATAGCATGGAAGTCAAAAGCTGTTCCCATAAGCCATGACCTCTGGCCATATTGTTTGGGAATGGTGAGTTCAATAACTCCTGGAGACTCACCATACAGGAAGCTCTATGCTAAAGGGAAGCTTAAGACTAGGGGATGACATGTATGAAAGAGGGACAAAATAATAAACAGCTGAATAAAAGGTAAGGCACTAGGTAGAACAACATCAAAAGAACATGAAATGTCCAAGGAAAGATAGGCCAAGGAGGGAGGAAATGTGAGTGTTACCATTTGCAACTTGGTGCAGAAAGACAGACCTGCAGACTTCTTATGACCCTTCAAATCAAAGGCTGTCTACCATCCTTTCAAGATGTTTCCTAGGAGCTCTTCAAATAGGCTGGCTCTTGTGTGTTTAGAACTTCCAAAACAGGATGAGTGAGCCAGTGGCTGGCACAAGACAAAATGTAGTTTTTGCGCTGCATTTGGTCTGCTGTGTTGCAAAATGCGCAGACCTGATTTAGGTTCATTATACGGGCTGTGTTTGGATTATGGCAAAAGTTAACAGAAGCTAAGGTACATACAGAGTCTGAGCACAGTATAGCAAGGAGCAATGATAGCTGGATAAGGTTATGCTTATCTAGGGTTCTGACATAGAAACCAAGGATTATGGACCTATGCTGAGAAGGCTAGTGACCAGTTAATTTCACAACCCAATATTGGAAGGCAAAGCCAGGGGGAAAGATGGGAGAGAAGCCACAAAACCCACAGTCATTATTAAAGTGCATCCCTGATTTGAATTTCAACGTATCTTGAGAGATGGGCCTTAAGATCAGTGCCAACAATTGGGTTCAGAAAACCGCTTTTACTCAATGCAAAGATTGCAAAATCAGATAGAGTAAACACAGTAGGGGCTGTGATAGCTTCACCCATTCCTTATACTTTTACTCAATGCAAACATTGCAAAATCAGATAGACTAAACACAGAAGTGGGGGCTGTGATAGCTTCACCCATTCCTTATGCCTTTCTATCATTCTCTTAAGCACAGAGAGCAGCTCTGGGAAGGTAAGCGTTTCTTTTATGCATGGAGGTTCTTCAAAAGAATCTGCATGCTGCTTTCAGCCTGAATGGGGCTAGTGCACGCCTTCTTTGCAATGGTTAGTCTGCCTGAATTCTGGTATGTAAGTTGAGCAAGGTTCTACATCAAGCCTTCCAAATGTGCCACTGAACCAAGATTATCTGTTCTTTCTCAGTGAAGGCTAGAGCCTTGTGATGGGCTGTATATTCTCTTCTCAAGAGAGACAGGAAAAAAATCCCTTTTCCAAGTCAGGAACAGGGAGCAGCTGATATGTTCCTAGCAGGGCAGACAGTTGAGGAGGTTTCCTGGCAGGGCATCTGTCCAGCACATTAGAGACATTGTTGTGCATGAAATCTGAAGTACATGGACATACCGGACACTGCAGTCTGCCTTCCCCTGTTCCGTGTCCACTGACAGCGATGCCATAGCACTGACTGTCTCTGCTTCCTCTGCTTCCCCCTTCTGTGCTTCCAGCAAAGAGCAACTGACAATTGCCGCAGAGTGTTTCACCGAGTTCCAGTGCTTGCCTAGGATACAAATAGGCACATGTCATGCAGGGATTGCCAATCCCTTTCTCTTCCAGAACACCTCTCTGTCTTCCTTTGAAATCCTGCCCCAAACCTCACGGCTTTTTCCCTGAAGCCACTGATTTTGTTCCGCCTCCTACTCTAAGCCTGAGGACCTAACACCTGAAATAAATGCCTGTGTAACCCTTTCCTTGGTTGTACTCTCTTTCTCTGGAAGAACACCATGCCAAGAGGAAGGTCAACTCATAAGCCCACAAACCCCAGCAGCTCCTATCCCCGCCCCCAACAAAACAGCAACTCAACAATCTTGCTTCCACCTTCCCTGCCTGAAAGAGTAGAGTGATGTTCCAACCACCAGTTGACCTAGGGCAGGAGTGGGCAAAGTGCAGCCCGGCGGCTAAATGTGGCCTGGCAAAGCTGCTTCTGTGGCCCTTCAAGGCCTCCTCTGATCCTCTCTCATGCCATCAAGAATACTGTATCAATCCTTCCTTTTAAAAATTCGCACATACCTCCACGTTATTTAAAAATGTAAATAGAAAATATGTATTTTTCAAAACAGAAAGAGACATTCTGGTCACCCCCTTCCTCCCATCCCCTCTTTTCTTTTGTAATTCTGCCATTTTTCATTGTCTGTGTGCTCCCCCCCGAGGGTCCCAAGTACATGAAAAGTGGTTCCTTGACCCAGTGAAGTTGCCCCCCCCGACCCAGAGATACAAACACCTGGAGCCAGGAAACTTTGGCTTACTTTGAGAACCAGGCAGGACTCATCCTCATAATTACCCTACCGCCCACCTCCAGAGGAACAAGGCGAAGTATAATGTCAGAAATGATTTTAGATTAGTACATATGGCTTTTGCCCCTCCCAATCCACAAAACTTACTCTGGATTTCAATGACATTCTCTAATGTGGCCACAGCATTTGGGTTGGGTTTCTGTTGCAACAGAGTTTGATCCAGCTTCTCCAGCTGTCTCAGAGGAAAAGAACATTTAGATTTTATTCTAAAAGGTGCAAGGATTCAAAGCTGTCTGTAATGGATAAGCAACAAGGCAACAGAAGAAAGAAAAACAACAAAAAGGTTTACAAATGAATGGAAAAGGAAGCTGACCAGGGGGAGGGACAAAGCAAAAGGCAAGATATTCTCTCTTATGAGAAGGCTTGGCACAACCTACATAATACTGTGAATGCCTGTGGTTGTCTATTTATTTTGAATTCTATAAAATATGTAGTCTCTTCTTTCATTTTACTGTTTCCTATTTCTCCAAAAACACAGGTACCAACCAGTAACTTAGGAAAGGCCTCTTTTTTTAGTACAGCTCCCAGAATCCCACAATTAACAGAGTAAATTTAGTTAGAAAAGGCAACTTTTCCAAACTGTGCCTAATTCTCAAATGGCAGTAACAAAGATAGGATGTCACACTATTTTTTCCAGAGTAAAACCCCTCCAAAGGCAGCTTACATTTAAAAAAACCCTCTGGAGCATTTATCCAGAAGGGAGGCTTGCTCTGTGTAGACCCACATGGGATTTCAGCCTCAAAAGTATAAAGAGTTTCCATTTGTACAAGAAAAAACTGCAGATATTGCCAATAACAGAGGATGAACAAGATAAGAAAATAAATCCCTTTAATTCCAGTTTCAGGTTACGTAGCACTCACATGCAATAAGATGAAGTTACATGCAACCTTAAATAGAAGTGGGAATTCTTTCATTAGCAGCAATGTGCTGTCCTGCTGGGCTGGCAGAGCTAAACAACAGAATTTTGGCCAACATTATACAAGTATGTAAGTGAAAACAAATCATAATTATCTTCTCCACAAATAGCTGGTTGTGTGCAGAACTGAAGCATTTAAGAAAAAAAATATTCATAATAGAAACTGGACTCCTTTAATAACTTCCTACTTTTTTTTTTGGCAGATGCCACCAATGAGTTGGAAACTGAAAATGCACATTATGGCAGAAACTGATACATACTCATGACATGCACAGATATGTTGTCATTCACCCACCCAATCAATCCTGCCATAGACAGCCACTCTTCTAAAGGCATGGGCAGAATTGCAGTCAACCCTCAGCCAGGCCTAAATGAGCCTTCACACGTGCTTTTCCCTGCTGCCAGCAGCACACTCACCTCAAGGCCAAGCAAGGCAGAAACACAGGCTTCAGATGCATCACAGATGGCTGTCAGATCGTGACCTCCCTCCAATGCTAGGACCACACGTCCGCCCGCCAGTTTCATCAGCTGCTTGGTTAAGTGCCCAAAACCTATATGGCCAAGAAGAAGAAAATGGACACTATCTGTTTATTCTCTTCATTCCTTCTCTGATAGACCCTGGAATAGAAAGCAATGTCCCCAATATGTTTAAGCCATTTGCTTCTGAAAATGTGAAGGCAGTTGGCTAGCAAGCCATTGTCTATTGTTATCTCTCTCTCTGTGATTTTTAAATTATTTTCGTATCTACACCTTAAAAGAGGTTGAGGTTAAGGTTAAATATTCTCAACAGGTAAATCATCAGAATGCAAAGAAATGCAGCTCTAGCTATTGTGAAAGCATGACACAGAATGGAGGAGCAAGCAGTAGGCTCCAGCTGCAACCTCTGGCAGTGCCAGTTAAGTGGATTTTAAGCAGAAATGCTTGGAAAACCTTGTAAGAAGGCCTGCTACCAGTCAGAGTATAATAACACACAAAGCAAGATGAATCAACAATTTGAGCAAGAATTAAACAGCTTCACACATTCACATGGGCGAAATTAATAAATGATGGTAAATGTTGTAGTCTAATACACTGGAAGGTAACCAGGCTGAAGAAGTCTGCTTGAATAGTGTTAATTCCCATCACATTCACTACCAAGAGCAACACACTTCAAGGCTTCATAATGCAACTCTTATTGCATGCTGACTGGGTAGTAACACCCTTTTTGTATGTCACCATTCGCACAGGAATCAAGTTATGTATATTTGTGAACTTCCAGACCTCTCGTCCCCAGGCTAGCATGGGAGAAACCTCAACCAATACTTACTGTTACCACAGTCAGGGATTGGAAATTAAAATCTCTCACATTCCTTTTTACATGAAAGGTAGAATTCCCTACGGCAGCAGTTCCCAACCTTGGTTAAGTCAGGTGTTCTGGGACTGCAACACCCAGAAACCCTGACCAGAACAGTTAGTGGTGAAGTCTTCTGGGAATTGCAGTCCAAGAACACCTGGATTACCCAAGGCTGAGAACCAGTATCCTAGGGGATAATGTGTCAAGGGCTGCATGCTGGTGGTGGATAAACTATTTTCCTCCCCTCATTTCTCCCTTTTCTGCATGTCTCCCTTCCCACCACATGAGACTGATTGCTTTTGCAGAGACCTCAATGCATCACTTCCAGAAAGTATTTGAAATTAGGTTGTGGGCTGCATAGGGATGTGCTTCCAGTTACGGTGGTGCCTCGCTAAGTTACCCCGCATGACAGTTTTTTCACTAGACATTGGCTTTTTGTGATTGCTATAGCAATTCGCAAAACAATGATTCCTATGGGGGAATTTTCGCTGGACAATGTTTGGTCCCTGCTTCGCAAACCAATTTTCGCTAGACAACTATTTTGACAGCTCCCTGCTCGCTCACAAACAGGTGTTTTCGGGACCTAAGCTTCGCAAGACAGCAATTTAAACAGCTAATCGGCGTATATTTGCGAAGGCTTTCACGGCCGGGATCTAATGGTTGTTGTGGGTTTTTCGGACTCTTTGGCCGTGTTCTGAAGATTGTTCTTCCTAACGTTTCGCCAGTCTCTGTGGCCGGTATCTTCAGAGGACAGCACTCTGTGCTCTGGTGTAGTTGGCTTTGAGAGTGCAGTATTTATGGCTATGAGATAGGCCTTTGTCTTTTTCTGTAGATGGGTGATTAGTATGTATTGTTGTGGGTGTATTGTCGTTGATCCAGCTCTGAGGTCAATGAACTCTACCCAGCCACAAGGACAGGGGATCACTACACACAAAAGACCAGCTAATGACACCCATCAACCACAGGAACAGATAATCTCTTCTCCTTAGCACAACAATACACCCACAACAAGACACACTAATCACCCATCTACAGAAAAAGACAAAGGCCTATCTCATAGCCATAAATACTGCACTCCCAAAGCCAACTACACCAGAGCACAGAGTGCTGTCCTCTGAAGATGCCGGCCACAGAGACTGGCGAAACGTTAGGAAGAACAACTTTCAGAACACGGCCAATGAGCCTGAAAAACCCACAACAACACAGCTGATCGGCGGTTCGTAAAGCGGCTTTCCTATGGCCAATCTTCACTAGACAATGACGATTCTTCCCCATTGGAACGCATTAAACAGGTTTCAATGTATTCCAATAGGAAAATGCTTTTCGCTAGACAATGATTTCGCTATACAGTTATTTCAGTGGAACGGATTATCATTGTCTAGCGGGGCACCACTGTACATGTAGTTCTAGGGGAACAAATTGCTTAGTCCTGGCCTAATGGTGCATGAAGAAAAAGGTTTGCTGATGCTAAGCAGCTCTGAATCTAATAAGAGTCTAGATGGGAAACCACCTGGAAATGTTATGTACAAAGCCTTGAACTTCACAATATATTTGTATCTACAAGTAGAAAAATATACAGTAAACATTATTAGATAGATACTGGCAGGCCTCTGCAAAAATGTAGAAGGATCTATAGCAGCAATGGTAAAAATAAACATTCTTGCCAAGCAGCACAAGCCCTCACCTGCGCGAGCATATGTGCAAACTGAGCCATAGGCCTTGATCCCACGTGCCCCACACTCACATTTTGCTGTGACAGAATAGCCACCCAGTGGAGACAGGTGCCCTTCCACAGCATCAAAGCCAGCAGAAACGAGAACCACATCTGGGGAGAACTCATTAGCTATTGGCATCACCACAGTCCTGGTAAGAGACAAAGTAGGTCTCAGACATTTTTCGGGAGGAAAAGACAACGCACAGGGAGCAAAGTCTGTATCACAACACTATATGAACAGGATAAATTCCAGCCATGTCATTCTTCTTCTCCTCTCTCTTTAGCGTTTCCCCAGTACATTGATGAAACTGAGTCCTTCCGCCTCTGCCAGATATGCAAGTCAAGGGACACAAGACTACTACGACATACTATTCTCAACGACAGTTGCCTCCTAGAGCAGACCTGGGCAAAGTGCGGCCCACTGGCCACATACGGCCTGCAAGCCACTCCTGTCCGGCCCACCCGTCACCACTGACTGAGCCGGAGCTCCGGCTTTGGTGCAGCACGGCAGTAAGCAAAACTCGCGAGATCTGACGCTGGGATCTTGCAAGTTTTGACTGTTACTCTTGAGCCGCAGGCTGTGGAGCCTGTGGCTCAAGAGGCCGGAAGAGATCCTTGCGCAAGCGTCGTAATGACGCATCATGTTGCCTGCGCGGGATAGAAGACAGTCAGAAAGGAAGGCCGGGGGGAACGGAGGACAGGTGAGTTAGCTCAGTGTCGGGGGTTTTTTCTCCCCCCCCCCCGGGGGGGAATGAATTACAATGCTCACATAGTTAACTGCCTAACACAGTTCAGATTTTTCATGTGGTCCCCTATTTAAATTAATTGCCCACCCCTGTCCTAGAGGCTACTGTAGCTCTTTTAGCCAAGGTAACCCCACTGAAAGAAAAACAAGGAAAGAGTCCTGTAGCACCCTATGTACTGAGATAATAACAATCTTGCATGCTTTCTACCATTGGGTATCAATGTTGGGGAGGGCAGACTTTAAAACCTAAATGGATTCTCCTTTCCCACTAAACTACTGGTAAAGTTCTTTTTCCCACCCCTGGTTTGCTCCTCCCCCTTTCCTGTTTGTTTGCTTCCCTTCTTTTGTTTATTAGTCTCTGTCCCCTTTCCTGACCTCCAAGCATATACACAAGACGCATGGAGGGGTCTCTCCTATATGTGAAGACTCCATTCATCCTATTTTCCTACTGGCTGTAACTATTGATAACAACTGTAAGTAAATATGCCTTTTTCACGTAAAATACTTCCAGAGTGTTTTTAACATATAAAGTGCTAGTCACTGTGAAAAGGGGTGACTTACTGAAACTTAAGCTATTCTCTTACATTTTCTCTGTCGTGAAAAGGGGTGACTTACTGAGACTTAAGCTATTCTCTTACATTTTCTCTGTGCAGCTGTTATTTCTACCAGATACTCTGATAAATATAAAATGAATTAACCAAATTTTCCAAAATTGTTTATTATGATGCAAGTATTTGTGGCCTCCGTAAAGAAAGGCGCCTAGTGGCACAGTGGTTAAACTGCTGTACTGCAGCCACATCCGTGCTCACAATGTGGGGTTTAATCCCAGGTAGCCGGCTCAAGGTTAGCCTTCTATCCTTCTCAGGTCAGTAAAATGAGTATCCAGCTCACGGTACTTGTACACTGCCCAGATAGTGCTTTAAGCATTATGGGCCAGTAAATAAGCAGAACACTTTGCTTTTGCTTTTTTGTTTATGCCCAAAAAAACTTAAGACAGCAACTGTATTTGTCTTTTAAGATGCCTCAAGATTCTTTTGTTGCTTTTACATCTGGAAGTTTCTTTACAGAGGCCACTAGCAAGAAAAGTTTCTGATCGGAAGGAATTGGGAGTGAAATTTTGCTGCTTTTATCATGTTTCCCTCACAACTATGTCCAATGAAGATAAAGCCCCTCTAGAGAGGGGAGAAAAAGAAGCCAAGAGAGACAGGCTCATTTCAACTGTTTTTGTTGAGGGCGGCAGTGAGGGTGTTTAAAAAATGGCTCTTGGCATCCTCTCTCCCTCATTGTCACTGCTGCAACAGGCCAGAGAAAAGGCAGATGTGGTAAGAAGTGGGGAAAACAGGGGAGGGAAGACGAGGAGGGGAGAGAAAAAAAGCGGAGGAAGGTGGCCAGGTAGGGTCAGTGGGGAAAGCCTCCCTGAAAAGCAATGTATTTAACTGCTTCATAAAAGTCCACAGGGAGGGGGCTAGGTGAAGCTCCTCCAGAAGCTGGTTCCATAAAGTTGGAGCCACCACAAAGAAGGCCCTACCTCTTGTAGAAGATTTATGGGCCTCCCTTGGGGTGGGCACCTGGAGGAGCTTTGACTAGGACGATCTTGTGGATCGGGCAGATGACATTAAGGAGAGACATTAATTTTTGACCTCTTAAAATGCCCCAGTTTTCCCAACCATGAAATATCAGAGATTTCGTTGGACTAATCTGTCACTTGTTGCACAAAATGAAGCAGCCTAGCTTCGTTGTGATCAGTTCTCAGAAGAGGTGTGGAGACAGCAAGCACACCCGTGTCTGATCTATGGGTCCAAAACAGACTGTTGATATGTGTTCCAGTTACTGATTCCAGATCCTCTTCTCCCCATCCCAGTCTGGATTTTTTTCTTTTCACTCTCTCTCTTTTTAAAATATACACTTGCTGAAGAAAACGTGTTGGTACATGAGTTTATATCATCACCTCTACAGACACCCCCCACAAGGAAAAACCTTACTATATTCATTAAGGACTGGCACCCTACCGGAAGGCAGTCAGATACTCCACGTCGCCAATGGGGGGGTCCACACCACCAGTCCAGGCAATGTTTACATTGTAACCTACACCCATCCCACTGCCAACCTGGAAAAGAGAAAGGACATAGATAACAAAAGACTGGCCTTCAATAGCAGCTTGGGCCATTCACAGAGCAATCAGTGGAAGGGAAGAAAGGCATGGGTTATAGACAGAATCTGGATCCAAAGAGCAAACGAAGGCAGGAAGAGCACTTAGGTAGAAATAAGAAACATATCTGTTTGGGAAAAAATGCTAGATCAACTTATAGGAGCGGAGTGGGGGACACAGGAGGCATACAATTTTCTGTTCTGGAGACTACAAAACAAGGTGGAACTGTGGCCCATCTTGGCCTGCAATTCTCTTAGTTCTTCACAACTGGCTGTGCCAGCTAGAGTGATGGTGACTGCAGCCCATACGTAGGTACCTGGAGGGCCCTACCTGTCCAACCTTACAGTAAGTCCTCTCAGTCTACCTGGCAACAGTGACATGCTCCAGTGTCTGTCTTCTGTCCCAAGCTGTGAGCCGGACTGCACAGCTTCTCCCCCACATAAAATGTCTCCTTAGTCTCGGAAGAAAACAAAACACCTGAGCAAATTGTGATCTCTGGCACAGCTCAACTGATCTGTATCTGTAGAGTCTGGAAAAGCTACTTTTTTGATGACAGCTGCCAGAATCCCTCGCCACCCCCATGCTAGCTGTAGTATTCTGTGATCTGTAGCAAAAAGAAGAAGGAAATTTCTAAGCTCTACTCATCTGCTTCTTTTTCCAATTCTTCTCGCACTTGCAAAACTATGTAAAGAACCCAGATATTTCTTTGTCAACAGAAAGCAGTCCAGCTTCCCCCACTCCCCACTATGAGGCACCTCCTATTCCCACCCCCCAGCCACCCACCTTTTTTTTTTTGCATCCTGTAAGATTGCTCCATTATGCAGAGAGACACAGGGGAGGGGTTTCTCAGCTGCAGAACTCCAGTTAGGAAATGCTCTCCCCTAATTTTACTATGATGCAAAATTAAAATTACCTTTGGTAATCAAGGTAGTAGGCTACGGAGGCTTCCTTATTATTACTGTGTTTTTAACGCATGTATATAGTTTTAATGTTTTCAGTGTTTTAAAATTGAATGGCTTTTACTGTATATTGTTTTTATTGTTGTTCTTTGTCTGGCAACCACAAGATATAGGATGGAATATAAACGTTCTAAATAAATAAATACAATAAATAAGTCCCCATGGGGCTCCATACAGGTTCCAGCCCCAGCATATTATAAAGTTAAGTACTGCAGGTAAATAAAGGTATGTCCTCACCTCTTCAGGAGCTCCACTGCCTGGGAAGAAATTGCCATTGTCATAACGATGGAGGGATATATAAAGCACATTAGGGTCACTGTAGAATGCTTGCTGGGTGCCATTGCCATGATGGATATCCTGCCAGAGCAAAGGAGAATGTGGTCAAGGAGCATGTTAGCCAATGAGAACATAACACCTTGAGCCCATCAAATCAAAGGAAGTCCCAATCCAGGGTGGAGACAATGTTCAAGAAGGGCATTGGAAGTGATTGTTGATTAATAAGCCTTTTGTTGTTGAAAGATGGGCAATAGTTTAAACTGTCAGCAGAAAGCAGGAGCATCAGAGGAGCGTAAGAATATGTCTGTGGTTTTTTTGTTTGTTTGTTTTTGGTATAAGTGTCATGATTACAGGTGCAGAGTGAGAAACCCTTACCCAGTCCACAATGAGAATTTTGCTGATGGCAAGTTTTTGCTGGAGAAGCTTGGCAGCAATGGCAACAGAGTTGAAAAAGCAGAAGCCCCTGTGAAATAAAGGATGAGAAAGCATTATAGAAAGCTGCCTTACACTGGATATGAGACCATCTAGTCCATTATTGGCGGTTTCAAGCAAACTTTTTTCCTCTTCTACTCGGATGTGAAGGGGATCAAATCTTTATCATAAATAGCCTATGCTTTACCACTAAGGAATGTGACATTCCTATACAGGGCAGGTGAAAGATTCAGACCAGAAGACGTGCCACAGAAAACAAATCCTTAGCTTATCTCTACCCTGCCTAGAAATTCCAGAACAAAAGAGGGTCTTCTTCATTTATATTTTAGCATACATATAAATATGAGTGTGTGTATGTATGTATATATGTATTTTTTCCACATTTTGCAAAAACTCACATGGCTGTGGATTCTTCCGCATGGTGACCTGGTGGCCGTATAACAGCAAATCCATTCTGTGGTAAGAAAGACATAATTGACTGCATAGATAATGTCTATCTATCAGTGATTTTATTGCTGCCTTAATTCATGACATTTTAACCCCTTCTTCCTGCAAGAAGTTCTAAATTCTACCCTTGCAATGACTCTGAGAAATTGGCAAAGGTGAGGTGATTGATCCAAGGTCATCCAACAGATTTCTGATCCATTACCTGAGGATTTAGTCCTGAAAAAAAAAAGCCAGCTAAAGGTTCCTCAATTCTAATAAACAAGACTGTGTTGTGTGGACTGCACCACAGAACAAAATCATAAAATGTGGAATGTGGGGAATGCATGTGGAAAAAGGAAGCAAACAAATAAAATGCTTCATGCTGAATACAAAACGAACAGCTACCCAAGATTATTCTGCAGATGTCCAGGAACTCTCTGATTTGATTTAGAACAGGAGCAGGGGACATTTGACCCTTAAGAAACTTATCGGCAACATCAGCATGGTAAAAAAAAATCATGGGTTCTACAGGCAAAAGCCCCTGGAAGGCCATGGGCAACCATTCATTTTAGAAAATGTTTCTTCTTCAAGACTCTCTGTGCATGCTCCAGAACTGTAGTGTTGGAAATGCTGAGCACCAAACCTACCACCTCTAATAGCAGCCCAAGAATCTTTTGGTATTATCTTTTGTTGCAAGTAATAAGAGCATAAACCAAGCAGGCCAATAAGAGAATAATTCTTTCACATGCAGCAGTTCTGTTTGAGGGGAAGGCTCAGGGGCAGGAAGACAGCTTACCATGGCAGTTCCCAAATTTTTCACAACACCATACCCCCTTTCTGATTTTTGAAAAACACTCACACCTCCTTACCTCATCACTATCATCCTTCAACCCTCTTATAACAAAACGTCTAATTCATAATTTAACATTAACAATAAACAAAGAGGCATTTAAAATAAGCTCATTGGCAAAATCCTAAATTTTAGTAATACCATCTATCCAAGATGTTTGTTTAGGCTGATAAAAAAGCTTTTTCTTTACAAAAATCTCATTATCTTGCATTCCCCTGCTTTGGAATTTCTTCATGTTTTCCTGGGGATCTTCCCTCATTTCCCTGTTTGGGAATCTATGGTTTACAATATAGAAAAGTTACCAATTGGGCAGAATTTACCTTAAGTTCCCCGGATGCCACTTTAAATGCCAGTTCCACCAAGCATCCAACAGCCATGCGGACTGCACTGGATGAGTGCATCTCATTCCACACTGTATCACTGTCAACCTGCCATGAAAAGTGCAGATCAGAGAATGTGCAGAAGGGATCAGATGCGGGAGAAGAGTGTAGGTGTTTTGCACTCATAGTGCAAAACATGGGAAAGTATTTTGAAAAAGCAAGTATAGTCAAATTATCTGTACTATTGCTCCTTTTAAAAAGTAAGATTTTATATTCATATCTCCTTTTAGTCAGTTTTTTTAAAAAAGCTATGATCTATGGTACCCACTGTGCTTCTGTCCACCTTGTTGTGACTTCAGCACTAACAAGGGAGGCACAAGGCACAGTTCAAACTGGTACTTGAAGCTTGTAATATTTCTCCTGTATCTTTTAGTGAAGCCACACTCTTGCAACTATAAAACCAACTGAATAAGTTACAGTTATACCACAAAAGTGTGAATCTATCCCTTATTAGCTTACAGCTGCAATTTAGTTATAATTGTGTTGTTTGGGGGGGGGGAATTAATTACAAGTAACTTATTATTTGTAACTAGTTACTCTCAAGTTCAATCAGGCATACTAACCCCAATTCCACCACATGGAAGGACAGTGTACATCTTCTGAGTGAGCGGACCTACAAGAAAGAAACAGAGAAAGAGATAAGACACATTTAAAAGAAGGAAGGAAACATACTGTACATGAAAATGCACCCTATTAGCTTTGGACTACAGTGGTGCCTTGCTTAACGGCAATATCCGTTCCAGGAAAATCGCTGTTACGTGAAAACATCGTAAAGCGAAAAAAAACCCACTGAAACGCATTGAAACCCCTTCAATGCATTCCATTGGGGTCAAAACTCACCGTCCAGCGAAGGTCCTCCATAGGGCTGCCATTTTCGCTGCCTGTCTTGCGAGGAAACCATCCCAGAAAACAGGGGGGGAGCCATTTTGTTTACCCGGTGGCCATTTTGAAACCGCTGATCAGCTGTTTTAAAATCGTCGTTTTGCGAAGAATCGGTTCCCGAAGCGGGGAACCGATCATCGCAAAGCGAAAAAAACCATTTAGACCATCGTTTTGTGATCGCAATTCCGTCGCAAAAAGATTGTCGTAATGCGGTTTTGTCGTAATGCGGAGCAATCGTAAAGCGAGGCACGACTGTAGTTACCACAATGAGAGAAGATATGTACAAGAAGAACCAGTTCTATGTTACTGTATAAAAGAAGACGCTTGCATCACAAAGTATGTGTGACAAGCTGCAGCCACATAGCATATGTACTGTAGTTGGCTTGCCTATTCAAGTCATAATCAATTGTGAACAGCCCAGAGTGGCCCTGTAGCCAGATGGGTAGTATACAAATCAATCAACCAATCAATCAATCAATTAATCACAGTGCAATACCAATTTTATCCATAATATTTAACATTTCAATTTTCATAAAAATAGCAAGTTTCTAGTCTTCCTAGGTTTTAAACGAAGCCAGCATTAGCAAGGACAGTTTTGAGAAAGCCTTTTCATGGACTTAATGGCTGTCTTTTCATAATAAAGCCAAAATTTTCTCCCCTTCACTGGTGTCGATAGAAAGACCTGTGTATACACTGTGGTTAAAAAAGAGGCTCACACTCTACACCAGGAAAAGCGTATGTTAGAATTCGTCAGAAATCCTACCTAACAATTTTTTGCTGTCAAGTTTTTGCCGGTTTAGGGGGCTGGTTCCATATAATAATGTGTGATGTTCTGAGTGCACCGTCTGGATTTCATCCAATGTTGCTTTCCGGCCTCGTATCCTCTAGAAGAAACAAAGAGAGACAGGTGGATAGAGATAAAAGATGTGATTCTGAAGACTCTGCAGAAGTTCTCTGCTGACATCAGGGTTATTTTTTAGTTACTTTTCATCAACATAGGTCCTGTACTTTAACCCCTGTGTCAATGTTTTGTCAGAACAGAAGCCACAGACTGTCACTTTCAACTCAGAGATATTCAGCTTCAGCACTAGAGAATTAGCAACTGTCAAACGAAAGGTCAAATGTGGCATAACTTTCAAAGCTTTTTCCATCTTGCTTATTCCTGTCTGATTCTGGTATGAAATTTGTTGCATCCATCCATCTTCATTGTAAGCAATGTATGGGAATAATCTTTGCAGCTTTATACTTTGCAGTAGTGCACTGTACTATTCTTTGCTCCTAAATTCACAGAGGAGAAACATTCACCTTTCTTGGAACCTGATGTGAACTTGCAGAAACCTCTGAAACTACATTAACAGCATTCACTTACAGTGATCAAGGTTTAAATAAAATGAAGATCGTCAAGAAAGATTTCAGAAAAATCTGGAGGTATTTCCCCCCCCCACAAGTAACATGATGACATTTAATATAAACACAAGAAGCTGCCTCATATTAAGTCAAATCATGGGCCATAAAGCCCAATACTGTTTACTCTGGTTGGCAGCAACTGCCCAAGAAGTCTTCTCAGCCTCTGCTATCAATCATAAGATCCAAGGAAAAACACCTCCAAAATACAAACTAATTGGAAAGCCTTATGTTCTTCCATTAGGTATGGGGATTCACACTGTGAAAATAAGTTGCAACTAGACTAGGCCTATTTGAATCAATGGAACTTATGCAGGAGGGAGGAGAAGCCGCGCCACCGCCGCTCAAAGCGAAAGCGCCTCCGGGGGGCGGGGGGAGAAAAAGGGGGAGGGCACACACACACGCGCGCACACACACATACACACAGAACACACCCGCCCTGGGCGCCCCGCGCTCCATCCCTGGGCTGCAGGCGGCACCCCCTTGCCGTCGTCGTCGTGGCGGCGGGGATCCTGGCAACTACGGGAAAGGAGGGTCTGTGGAGGGGCAGCGCTGGCCCCTGTGAAGGTGGTCCCCCTGGTCCAGCGGTGAGCAGGGCGGAGAAAGGACCCTCCCCTGGAAACCCCGAAGTAGCCCCCAGCGCTGATGGACGGGATGAGCCAAAGTCAAGATAAAAGGGTTTCCCAGGACCCTGAGAAAAGTTTTGCTCAAGGTCCCGCCAGCCTTGAGCCCTCAGAAAGCAGCCTAGAGGAGTCACCACCACAGGACACCAGAACCCATCTTTGGGTACCCAGGGCCCCTGTTCCACAGGGGAGGGACATCAAAGTTGCAACTAGACTAGGCCTATTTGAATCAATGGAACTTATGCAGGAGTTGACTCACCAAATCACCACTGTTTTAATGGGCCCACTTTAGTGCAACTTACTATACTAAGTAACAAGGTTTCTGTCACCGAAAGAAAGCCAGAAATTAGCTGAAATTATCTGAAAGATGAAATAGTGGAAACTATTCCTCCTGAAAAAGAATAGTTAAATCTAGTCAGTTGATGAAGGAACCAGGGCCATATTGATAAACCAAAGGGGTTCCTGCATTAGATCCAAAATAGCTGACTACAAATGTCATGCCAAGGTGGGGAGGCACCACAGCTTACTGGTAGGATGTCTTCCTTGCAAACAAAGGTAGAAAGCTGAAATACTTCTATCTTCATTTAAAAACAAAACAAAACCCAACAGGTAACTGAAAAGATCCTGGACAGCTGCTGCCAGTCAAAACAGACGTTCTAGTTGAATAAACATTCTGACTTGGTATAAGGTAGTATTCTATGTTAAAATTAGGAAAAGGCATATTCAAGGTTGTTTGTCTTAGCCATTGGCTGTAACAACACAACTACAACAATAACATAACACCACAAAAGTCTATTGTTCCACATGACACATTGCCCTGATTTAAAAGTCATAGATCTGTTATTCCAAGGCATCGTTTGCAAAACTAATTCCCCTCCACCCTGCACTTTTTAAAAGTGCATTAAGGAAATAAATGAGCAAAAGACTCACCCTCATAGCTAAATTTGAAGATGTGGCAGACATCAAGAGATTGCATAGATGTTTTCCCCAGGAAGGTTCTGTACAAAAATGATCCTCAGCCCAGGGAGAAGTCAACACTCTTATAAAGTCAATACACGTTCCTGCATGAAAAATGTAACAAAGTAACCTGCTTGAATATTACTGGGATAGCAACAGGGGAGCACATACTGTATAGATTTTTTTTTTCATGCAGGAACGTAGGCTTTTAGATTGGACCTGGACTACTGTGAAACTGGATATTATAGGTTTGCTCTTCACTACAGCTACCTAGCAAATTATGGACACTACTGCCACTGATTTTATAAGAGTGTTGACTTTCCTTAATACATGCTGACCATTCCTGGGGGAAATTCTGTACATCCCAAGAAGAGATATTGTTTGTGGTTACAGTAGCTTTTATTTTTACAGTTCCTTAGAGGATCATTTCCTTTTGAATTCAAGGTAATGACTGCCACTAAATAAACTTGGGATTTTTTTGGTACTTGTAACCAATCAATTTCTACCTGTGGAGAAATTGCAAGAAAAGCAACAAAGAACACTGTGGCATTTTAAAGACCAAATGTTAATGCCATAAACATGTATGCATTTATGATAGTTTCTAGTCCAAAAAAACCCAATCAAAAACATATTCCATAACAGCTTTGTTGTCTAGGTGTGACAAAAAACTCTTTTGTTTTTAATGGATTATATAAAGGACTCCTGTCACTAAAAAACACTCCTGATAATTTGGCTACCTATTCACCCCACCTCTTGTGGTTTTCTTACCATTTGCTGGCAGGTTTCCATGCTGAAGATTCTTACCTCACACTTGCTTAGCAATCCTGTCTCCTGTAGTCTGGACCAGATACTCTGGATTCTCCCAGCATGCTCTGGGTGAACATTAGTGTTTCCACATGTACACTGATGCTTCAGCATGAATGTGTCATAAACGACACCTGCGAGAGGGCAGGAAAGCAGAACCGTGGAGGGAGGAGAGGAATAGACAGAAAAGAAGGGAAACTGGTAAGATCATGGCAATTGACACTGGAACATAAAGTACCTAGAGATGTTTGATTCTTGGAAGTCAAACTGCCTGTACCAAAAGCCTTTCCTGCATCATCAGAAGTACATGAGCCAGCTATGCTTTCTTCACATGGAAGAAAGCATATTCTGTACAGTACATTCCTTGTGGTAATCTTCATATGATTCGGCCTCAAGTACAGGTGCAAAAATGACATTTCAGAACTAGGTCAAATTAGGCCTTGCTCTCTAGATTGTGAAATGTACAGGGGTTCATGAACATGAGGGTCAAGTGTGCCAGGAGAAGTGGGAGAACCCTCACACACCTGAAAGAGGGCCTTCAGAACAACAGCTCCCCAGTTGTGGAATATTCTCCACAGACAGATTCTCCTGATGGCTGTTTCACAGTCCCTTTAGCACTTGACAAACACATGCTTTATTTTCCCAAGTCTTATAGGTGCAATTTTAATCTTGCTGATTATTGTGCACTTCTTTTACAACTTTGCAGTTTTAATCTTATCTTTTGTGTGTGTGTGTGTCATTCTACTTCCATTGTTTTATTCCTTCTATAAACTATCCAAACCGGAAAACAGTAGAAAAATAGTTATATTCTATAATGATTTTCTTACTGTTTTGTTGCATGCTGCCCTGACAGTTTTACTGAAGTGCTTAAAAAGAATCAAAATAAACAAACTTTATCATAGTAAATTACATGAGTATGCATAATAGCAATGGTTTGCAAACTCTTTTTGAACAGTCACATGTGAAGTTTGTAGAATCTGCTTGGAAGAACTACAGATAAGACGGAGATTGGAATGGTAATTCCAAATCTATACAGGCTGCTTAGATGTAAGTCCTACTGAACTCAATGGAGCTAATTTCCAGGTAAGTGGGACTGCAGCATAAATTTATTCAGTGGCCATCATGGCCCATATTTTAAATTCTGCAGATTTTTGCTCTGGGAAAAAGGAGAGAAGACTGTATCACAACTCCGATGACAATATCAGCTGTAGCCATGCCAAGGCTAATTAGGGAAACTGAAACCTTCCTCTATCTCCTCAGGTTCCAGTGATCCATAGAGATCCCCTTCAGCTCAGTAAGCCTTTAGGAGCCGCAGAATGGGTTAGGGAATAATTTAAAGTGGTTGTCCAGTTTTAAATTGTTCCCTATGTTGTTCCATGTCTCCCAAAGACTTCCTAGGATGCATGGATTCCCTAGGGATCCCTGGAACCTGAAGGAAAGGGGATCAGAAGCTTTTAAGTCCCCCAAATGACTATAGCATGACCATGGCTAATGACATAATCACAGCTGTGCAGCAGAAAAACTCTGCCAACTGGATTCCAGGCTAGGTCTTATGTTGTATTTATGCTGTAGAAAACAAATTAGTAGAATAATA